TCTCATGCAGGTATGAATCTATTATGTTTTACTATCACTTTGTCAATCATTGCAAGCACTCTTTTTATCTGAAGCTTTGGAGACGGAGTATTAGAGTTTGTTTCAGTATCTAAAAATTTTCTCCTAACTATCAACACAGTTTATCTGAAGCTTTTATCGTACAAGACTCAGCTCGATCACTTATTCCATTTTATGTGCCATGGAATATTAAGATTGACAGAAAAAAAATAGCTTGCATGGAGCAATTCCCCTGCCAATGCATCTCACAGTTTAATTTCTTATTGAATGTTGACTATCCCTACCAATCCATCACACAATTCCTTATAACTGAATGCTACTCCATTCAATTAATTTCATTTGTTGAACTCCTTACCAATGATCAATCTGTTCATAACTAGGATTAATGGGTGCAAAGATATTGCCTAGACCATCTTTAAGAATTTATTGCCTTCTTCGTTCAAATTTGGTAATATATCTCTCCCCATGTTGGGGAATCATGTGTCTTTTGTACCGACTACACAAAGGTTCTTAAACTGGCCGGATTGTCCATTTCACTTCAGAAGCTTATTACGTTACTTTCTTGGCTATATTTCCTGCCATCGCATTTTACATTTACAAGTAGGAATGAAGTGATCACCAGCTAGATAGCTACCTTCTTGATCACTACGACGTGCATGCTTCAAGGATATGCATAAATCCAAGGTTATTCTCATCTTACAAATCTCTCTCGATATTTTCCCTAGGGATATAGATATTCGAAAACATCGAGCATTGGGATCATTTTATACAAGAAAATGTCGAGGAGATCTAGAAGCTATTGTAAGTTAGAAGGTGTGTTGTTTCATTAAATATATCATATGTGTATTTCTGAATATATCTTCTTTGTTTTGTTTTTCCAATCTGGCACTCCTCCGCTACTATTCTAGGTAACCAGTCCACAACCTGCAATATTATTTTGATGTGTAAAATTTTTATTATGCATCATAATCTCCATATCAGCGCACTGTCAGATTACCTATATAAAATGAGATGTAAGATGTCACAAACGCATTGTTAATTTATTTCATTTATTTGCTTCTTCTTTCAGCAACTTTTACAGGCTAGAAGCAGTTCTACAACAGATGGATTTGCCTTAGGTATTTTTTTATACTAGAGCACAAACCTGAATTTCTCTACCTTTTACAGTTCTAGATGGAGACATGAAATTTCTTTAATGGTAAAATATATTGGTTGGGTTTGATTAGTGTATATTGTTAGTCATCATTGTATTTTATTAGCGAAAGTATTAATATTACCATGTTTCCTACAATTGATGCTCTACTTGTGATCCTTATTTGCCTATGAAGATTTATTGTGTCTTGGTGTTTTTGTGAGATGGACTCAAAGATTCTGCTGTTCGAAACGTGCTAAATATTTAGACGTTTTATATTTGCTTTTATAATTGTTCAAAGTACAAAAAAAGGGTAATTCTGAATATGTTCATATACGTTCAACCTTATTGTATCAAGATAAGAGGTCAAACTGCATAAATTATCTGACAGAAGCCTTAGACAAGATGAGAATACAAGTAATCGGTTGTTTCTGTTGAAGTAGTATGCCTTTGGCCCTTGCCATGGGCATGGAAATGCAAGGAATTATGGGCCTGTGCCCTGTAGTCTGTACCTGCTTAAGGGCACTACATTTGGCTATGCCCTGGTTTCTTGAGATGTAAGAATTTTTTTCTACCACCAGTTGTGGTGAAGCCAATTACATGGATTTTGTTCTTAGTCAGGTTAGCTGATTGCTAATTGAAGCTTTGTTGTGTTGCTTTCTATCTACATTAAAGAGTGTAGTTTTATAAATTGGGATATGACTCTACAATTTAGTGTTCAAATAATTCCTTATGAAAATATAGAATGTTTGTATTTTGTTTCTAGATTCAGATGTAATATCGATGGAGACCTAAGCTAGAACCTAAACCAAAGCTTTTCTAAAGAGCTCCAATTAACCATAATTGTTTCCCTTATTTACAGGCTTTCAACTGAGTGAATTCAACGTTGTAGTGTTCAAGAATAAATTAGAAGGGAAAATCATTTATTCTGTATTACTCTCTCTATTTTGTTTACCTTACCATAATAATTATGGATCCTTTTGGTCAGGTTCTTGAATGATTACTGGCCATTTTTTTTACTGAACTACTGTGGACTGCCATGTCTTTTTTTGTTGAACTACTGTCGGCTGACCATGTTTTCTTAGAAACATAGAAATATTGTTCCAAATGGATTATATTATATACATAGGCCGTGTTTAGTTCCTTGTCAAAATTTTTTTTGACGTATACAGACACACATTTGAAGTATTAAACGTAGACTAATAACAAAAGAAATTACAGATTTCGTATGTAAACTGCGAGACGAATCTATTAAGCATAATTAATCCGTCATTAGCAAATGTTTATTGTAGCACCATATTGTCAAATTATGGCGCAATTAGGTTCAAAAGATTCGTCTCGCAATTTACATTCAAACTGTGCAATTTAGGTTTTTTTCGTCCACATTTAATGCTCCATACATATGTCCAAACATTTGATGTGATGAAATTTTTGGAAGTTTGAAGGGAACTAAACACAGCCATATTCGTGCTTTTTGAAACAACAGGGTGTTACAACTAATAATTAAGACTGCACACTTTCTCAAAACATGTTAATAGGGCAATGCATGATGGTGGAAGGCACTTAATGTGGAGGCCACTCATCAAAATATGATCTCCGAACATCGTGCTAGGTACCTTTTGTAATTAAAGCTCTTGATCATTTGTAAAACTTGTCATTTGAAGAACCGCGGGATAATAGATCAGGCATTAAGGAATTTATCCTTAAATTTATCTCCGTGCTATTTTCATGAACTTATCCATCTTGCCTCCCAAAATGAACTTTATGTAATAGATATCTACCGATTGTTTTTCAATCATTCTAGCGCCTTGAAGTGAGTGCATTGGAAACCGTGGAAGTGAAAATGAAACTCAGTTTATGTCTTTGTTTTGAAATTGAAATGAAAATTGTGCATGCCTTTTTCACTATCATTTTAGATGAAAACAGAAACAGCCTATGTCTATGTCACATGGCTCTCGAGAATATAATTTGACACAATTGGGAAATTGTAAATGTAAATCGTGAAAACGTGTATTGCATGTGCATGATTACTAGTATTGATAATATTGCAGATTTGGTGAATTATTCATGAATCCCATTTTCTCATATGGTGGTACTTCAGGTTAGCCAGTCAGTTTGCATAATTTAGTTCCTGAAATTTTTATGTATCTCGGTGACTTTTGTTTGTTTCTTTTTAGATGTTCTGATGATCTTTAGACTTCCATCTAGGACACGTATAAATAATAGGAATTGTACCAAATATTTTTATATTAGCATCGTCCACCAATGTCCTACCCTTTGATCAACAATAAGTGGGTTCTGTTATACCTGTCATTCAGCAATGGTAATAGTAATAACATAACATATGAAAATTTTCAATTGTTGCCGCTGCAAGAATAACAAATTTGCTCTTTTGGTTTAACCTTATCCCTATCCTATCGGTTCATCATGCTTAGATAAGTTCCTATTTTCTGCAAAGCACCATTTTGGGGCTTTATATATTAATTAGGAATTGATATCGGTGCTCTCAAAATGCCATGCGTGTTTGTTTCTTTGTTATCTATTCATTCCTTGCGAAAGTTGTACATTCGGAATACCTTCTATATTGCCTCACTTTCCCTTCTTTTCTTATTACTTTCATTAGCTCACTAAGTGTGAGTTGATCATTAAAATTTGTGTCAAATACATTTATCCCGCAGCAACGCGCGGTGTATCATCTAGTTTTTATGGTAACCGACACCATCCCTCTCCTCAATCTCCGGTGTGCTTTCCTTCAAAACCCAAATTGGGTTGTACTGCAGTCTTAAGCTCACGTTTCCACGTTGATGTCATCATCGATCGACCGCCTCTCGAGCCTCCACCGCTCTGTCCATCCTTTTTTTTGCCCAAGCTTAGTCATTGTGTCGTTGTCCCAAGCTTGGTCAATGTGTCGGCAATGTCGCCAACCGCCTCCCCATCCTCTTCCACCCTGTGCCCAAGCTCCGGCCAAGCTGCGTCAAGGGTCCCTTGCATGGAGTTCTATTGTGGTGTTTGAAACCGAGAATTTAAATATGGTTAACTTATATGTATTAGAAATATTTTATTTAATTAAAGTGGTATTTTTTTTCTCTTATATTTCAACATACATTTTATGTGGTGGAAAATTAGTGAGTCGGATGAGTGGATCGATATGTGGGCTAATATGGGTCGGGTTGCGCCAATTTTTTCTTGAAATCAATCGGTATATGCAGGTACTTGAGGTCAACTTTAATCAATTGCATATTGGAACCAAACTCAAAGGGAGTTGTGGTCTAATATGATCAAGAATGGTATGTCATGAGGTGTGATGTAATCATGTAAATGTACATGATGGACGGATACCACGTAGGAGACTGTTGCAATTCGGTGGCAAAATGAATGAGAAAAAGAGAAGAGAGAGGAAGGTGGTCTAAGCCACCAAGGCCCAGCTAAGCCGGCTTCCCTCTCCCTCTCCACTAGCTGGTCCAATTCGCCGTTATATCACTGAATTTAGATCAAATTACTACAAAAGGCTTACTTCAGAGTTGGGCATGATAGACAGTGGTGGAGCCAGCACCACCGTGAAGCCGGGACGACTAGTAGCATTTTCTGGTGACCAACTGATATTTATACGCGTCGATGACTAACGGCAATGGAGATTGCATATGAAAATCAGATTGAAAAACATAGCATATACAGGAATTTAATGGCACAGAGCGTTCGAAGGATGGGTCTTTCCACAATGGGCTGGATAGGTGGGGAATGGGGTTGGGCCTTAACTGATGATCGAAGGTTGCACAGTACATCTTGATACACATCGCTATAAACTCGTTTTCCTGATTTTATCATTATATTCCTTTGAACCTTTTGGATCAAATCATAGTGCTATGCAATCATCGTAATACGGAAAACATATATTGTTCCCATTAAACGGAAAACAGTCACCAGGAATGTCATACGAAGTACCCAAAAAAAAGGACGCCTAAAACCACAGTATTAAACTGCAGCAAGATTTATTTCACCTCTAGAAATGCAATATTTTCAACCACCGTCACCACCACAGACACAGGCAAAATGGGAAAAATACAAGATACAGTTTTCCGAGATGTGGCACTCCAGCAGGGTACAGAATTTTACATAGTCAATAGACCCTGAGGAGAAAGCAGCATAGAGAACAGAATCTAAGAAACGGAGAATCCACAGTGCTTTCTTCACAATCGGCTGAATTTATACAGGTTTGGTTCACAAACTGACCACACGAATCCATCCGAACGCTGTCCACTCTTCAGACTAGAATCAGGAACTTCTGCGACAACTCCAGATCTCCAGGATTATTTGCTTAAACGATATTTACACTAATGTGTGTGATACACGTGCCATCCATCGTTGAGTCCTGCAAACACAGGTTGAACATTCAAGTTTCTAAAATCAAAATTTAGATCAGTATTTGCATATGCTTCTGATGAGACTACAGTCAGAAATAGCAACCAACAAGCAACAACCAGGCAAGCAACATATGATTCTGACCCCAAATAAAAACATCCACAAGCTAGCTACTTTCTGCATGTTATCCACAGTTCTGTACCTATCAATTGTTCGGTTCCAAGCAGACATGCGGGGCGCAGATGAGGATGGGGATGTTCAGGATCTTGTCATAATATAGTCGTCAGCTTGTAACTGACAGTTCATAACAAAACCAACAGATATCTCATGATATTAAAAAGCCATGCGGCTAAGGCATCTATTTCTACATAGGTTTCTGAGAATTATTGCCAACATCAGTTCTCTACTGTCCTAACTCAAATGCTCAGTTTGAAATTGGATGGTCAAGCGATGGCAAGAATGAATGCGATATAAATTTCCCAACAGGATATTAATGTTTCTATTGACAGTCAACTGAACGCTGGATCTTGATTTTCATTTTGAATGGGCATACCGAACACCCAAAAGAACAGTTCTCTACTGCCTTATCCTACATGAACCCCTGCTAATGACCAAATGGAATAATCCAAATCCCATCAGGATATGCTACTATTTTGGCCTCAATAGCTGGCACACCAATCATTGTGCTCTCACAAAAAAGAAAAAAAAAGAGAAAGAAAATCATAACTGTCACTGAATTTGAAACAAATTGATGCGTACAGTACGAATATATATTTCTGAACAAATTGGAATTATATGTACTAATAGATATGATGCTTAAAGTTTACCACATTATAACATGATATTGTCAGATGCCATATTGCCACTTAATAGCTGAAACTGACGTGTACGAAGTTGATTTGATAAAAAAAAGGGTCAGATAATGGCAACAGGAGGACTACATTATACTAGCTAATGAATGAGATAATTCTACAGCAGTAGTACTGTATAATAGTACAGGATAATGAATTTTCAGCATGAAACTTAAACCCATCCAGTTGTAGATGACTTCTACGGATAAGTACAAGAGTCTTTTTGCTATTGGTCAGAGACAATTAACAAAGTAGTTGGTTTCAATGGCTCATATGGCTACACGGTTTAGCCCAAAAACTATGGTCACATGACGTCTCTATCTCTCTTGGGAACGTCAATTTTCTGGACACCCCTTGAAGCACAAGGCAAATTAAGCTCGTTGAGTTTGACCATGCAATTCCTTCTTGAGGACGCATTCTAATCGATCCCAATGCAAGCAAACACATCACCAGAGCCAAAATTGGCTCCAAATTGATCACAAGTTCTCACCAAATTCATCCACCACACAACTAATTCCTTGGTTTGTCACTAATACATCATGTAGAAATTGGGAATTTGAAAAATGAAACAAACAAGAACAGCAATTCACAAAGTAAAGGAGCAGCAATCAAGAAGGAAGAAGATGATTGGGGAGGCAACTCACATACTAGTAGGACGGCTGCGGCGGGACGGGGGTGTAATACCGGCCGGCCTCCTCGTCGATGCTGTCGGCGGGGCGGTGGAAGACGGCGTGGAGGAGGACGATGACGACGCCGACGAGCAGCGAGGTGAGGATGTTGACGGTGGCGCCGGTGAGGAGGAGGAGGACGAGGGTGAGCACGGAGAGCACCGCGAGAACGGCGCCCTCCCCGACGGCGCGGCCGCAGAGCGCGAGCGGCTCGTCGCGGAGGAAGTAGAGGAAGAGCCAGGCGACCATGCAGGCGAGGAAGACGATGAGGGAGACCGGGTGCCAGAGCAGGGAGAGGAACACCACGGCGAGCACCACGATGGCGTAGTTCATGGAGAAGTGGCCCAGGTTGGCGCGCGCGCGGCGGTACGCGCCGCCGAGCCCGCGCGGCACGGACGCCGCCCGCGGGTCGGCGAGCTCCCGCCACGGCCGCCGCTCCGCCAGCGCCGTCGCGCCGCGCGCCTTGGCGCGGGAGATGAAGTCGAGCGGGGAGGAGGAGGAGGAGCCCGGGGGCGGCCCGTCCGAGGACGAGGAGGTCGGGATGGTGCCATACTTCGACATGGCGCGGAGGCGGAGGCGGCGGACGGTGGCCGGCGCCGGCGAGACGCGGCGAGGGAGGCGAAGTGGACTTGACGTGGAGGAGAGGGAGGGAGTCTTGACTCTGGAAGGGGCGAAGCGACCGCCCAATTAATGGAGAGGAATGGCATGGGTGGGGCCCACCGCGACAGCTAGGTGGACACGTGGCGGTGGAGGTTACGGCAAGATCGTGGCCGTTGGTTTCGATTCGGGCCTAGTGAAGTTTTGGTTAGGCAATAGAAGGCCCAGAATGAATGGGCTTTTTCCTGGTAACTAAATTGGCCCACACGTCAGGCATAGGTCCGTTGCGGCCCAACTAGTATGGGCCGCACATTAGGCGAGATCCAGTTTCGGCCCATGTAGTACGGGCCGCCATGCCATTCCGGCCTGATATAAACGGGGCTCCAGTTTGGCCTGGTCGCATTCTGGCCCATGTTGTGATCTTCTGTTTATCACCTGCTACGTGATGTGTGTTGTGTTGCCTGCTTGATTTTGCAAGTTTTGCTCGGCAAATTGAGCTGAGATTCAAGTTGAGAAAAACTTGCAGTACCAATTGTTCATTTGTTTCTATTTACTCTCTCCGTTTCACAACATGATATCTTTTGGTCTCTTTATCTCTGGACTAAATTCACTAACATTCATATAAAATATATATGAAGATCCATACATGAATCTGTTTAATACATAAAATGTCTTATAATATAAAACAAAGTACTCCCTCCATTTCGAAATGTTTGACGCTGTTGACTTTTTAGCACATGTTTAACCGTTCGTCTTATTCAAAAAAAATAAGTAATTATTAATTCTTTTTCTATCATTTGATTCATTGCTAAATATATTTTTATGTAGGCATATAATTTTACATATTTCACAAAATTTTTTGAATAAGACGAACGGTAAAACATGTGCTAAAAAATTAATGGTGTCAAACATTTCGAAACGGAGGGAGTAAGTAAGTAGTGATTTACTATGAGGTGCTATGCTCATCCAATGTTGCTCTTCACAACGTCAATGGAACCCGCATCCGAAGAAAGGGATAGTCACTAGACGATTAAATCTCTATGTTTGAGTTTTAGTTTGCAATCTTGCTAGAGAGGCTGAAAATTTTGGATAGCATATGATCTGATCCTGTAAGACATAACCTTCCAAAATCTGTATTATGGTATCTTTTGACGTGGAGCAGGTCTACGTACACATAGAACTCATTTCACGCTTATGTTCTTACTTCATGTACAATATGAAATAAACCATATATACTACAGTTGTAATGTGTTTGTTTATATGCTAGCTCGGACCTATATATCTACGTTATTAACAAATAGACTATGCACTACTTAAAAAAACAGCCACGAGAGTCTTTTTACTACTCGGTCGGGGTCCAGTGGCCGACTGCCTGCAGAGATTCATTATCGTAGATGGCAGATTGAGGACGTCACCTACGATAATGGATTTTCACAAGCAACATCATAAGCCAGCCGCCTATGAAACATAGCCACTATAAGGCCTTCTCCCCGAGACACACACATTTTATCCAAACTCTTTCTTCTAAAACAAGTAAAATGATGAAAGGGGAAGGCTTTTAACTCAAAATTTTTCGTGGAGTTCGCTATCCTTAGACCCTTTGATTTGTAAAAGTAGGGAATTTGTAGGATTTTAATCCTACTTCCCCCATACTAATACATCGTGAGGGTTGCTATGGACAATATTAATGTCCGTTATCAGTGCAAGCTCATGATGTCCTAATCTTTTCCTCAAGAACGTAACATATTTATTCTGGTATAGATTAGTTACTATAAGCTTCTTTACTAAGTAACCCCCTACCCCACTACTAAGGAATCCTAGCATCAAGCATCAAATGCTAGCTAATGGTTTCCCCAAAATTATTTGTTTTTGTTTAAGGGAAGTGCATGGGGACTAATGATTTCATCACTTGGCGCCACATACTAAATTAGTTAAAAAAAACAAAGCTCCTTTGGACCTAACAAACTTTTGGCGTTGGTTTGACCACTCTGTATAATGATATCTTTGATGCAAAGTTTTGAACAGAACCATGCAAATTAAGATATATGAAAAGAGGAGAAGAACCTCAGCATCAGGGCATTGTGTAATCATACTCTCTGCCACCTCTAAACAGAGTGATTAATTTAGAAACTCGTTGAACCACTTTAATGGCATGGGCTTTTGGTTTGGGTACTCTCTGGTCACATCATTGCTTACAGCCAGCACTGTGGATATACTATTAATTACTAGCTCACTAATTTTAATTTACTCCAAAGTGCTGTGTGGTGATGCTATCAATTATGCCATCAGCGGCTACACATGTGTTTATCTGCTCTCTGACGTGTCGACACTCGACTCCAAGAAAATTAGGAGTAGCACATGTAGCCTAGTGGTTACGAGAGTCTCAGTAACATTTAAGGTCGTTGGTTCGACTCTCTATGGAAGCGAATTTTCTAGGATTTAATGGCATTGTGCTTTCAGTGGTAGGCGACGTACCCGTCGAAGCGAGGCGTCTGTGGTGACTTCGTCAATCTTAAGGATTTGCCAGGCCAGTCTTCGAAGATGCTCATAGGGGTAGGGTTTGCGTGCGTGCGTTCATAGGAGTGAGTGCGCGTGCATTGTAAGTGTCTACGTTGTACTGTGTAATTCTAAAAAAAAAGAGTGCTCCCTCCGTCTCAAAATACAAGAACCTAGATAGGAGCGGATGGGACGTTTCCTAATACTATGAATCTGCTCCTATCCGCTCCTATCTAGGTTCTTATATTTTGGGACGGAGGGAGCATTAGGGTCTGTTTGGTTGGAGGGACTAATGATTAGTCCCTCCACTTTAGCCCCTTTTAGTCCCTAAAGTCCCAAACAAGGGTGACTAAAAGAAATAAAAGGGATTAAAAGTACATTAGTTCATTAGTCCTCGTGGGAGGAGCTTGACTAAAAGGGACTAAAAGTACATTAGTTCATTAGTCCTTGTGGGAGGAGCTTGCAGGGACTAAAATGTTTTCTTTCCACCTCTTGTCCCGCTGCCTCCACATAGCCCTATCCTTTTCTCATCTCCCTCCTTTCCTCCTCTCGACCCCGCACCGCCGCCGCCGCGCCGCTACCCTGCGCAAGCCACCGCACCAGCTTCGCACAAGAGCCACCACTGCCCCGCGCAAGCCCCAGCGGCGTAGTGCAAGCCGCCGCTGCCCGCGCAAGCCACCGCTAGTCGGGCAACAGCCATCAGCCATGGCAGGCAACGAGGAAGAGCCGGTGGATATCTTGTCCCCGTCACACACACATCACCTTCGACTACGGCTTCTCGCAGGCTGTCAGGCCACGCCGGATCTGGCGTCGGCTTCCACTTTCGGGGGAGTGGATCCAGGGGCCTAGATCTGAACTCCCAGGCCGACGCCTTCCCCGACTTTGCCTCCTACCACCAAATCCTGCAATCGGATGGCCATGACTTACCTCCGATTCGCCCTGGCAGTAGATCCACCGGCGCCCTGTCGCGCCCTCCTTTCCTAGGGGTGAGACGCGACATAAGTCGTGGAGGAAGAGGAGGACGAGGCCGCGCCAGGTCCTTGACCATTGGCGCGGGATCCGCCAGGGGGATGCGGGGATTCGTTCCCCCGGCTCAGCTTCCAGCGATGGAGGTGTCATAGGCCATGGGGACTATTTGGACAGTTATGTGATGAATCAATTTTGGGACTGGGTTGCCGATGGTTTGTGGAGTTTGAAACAAATGTAATTTCTGGTTTATTGGTCTTGTGGAACATGTAATTTGTATTAATAAGCACTTGCAGTAATTTGAGGAACTTGTAATTTGTATTTTGGGACTGCTTCGATCTATCAATTTTGTTCATGTTCTAGCGTGATGTTTCAAACCTGTTTGCAAGCTGATTCCTGTCATTGCCGATCACTGATGCAGTGCAAATATGTGATCTGATCAGCAAATGTGTGTTCCGATTCCTGTCCTTGCCGATTGCATGGTTAGGGGTAATATGGTCTTTGTACAGTACAATTAATGATTTTTTTAGTCCCTACATCCAGACAAACAGGGACTAAAATTTTTAGTCCTAGGACTAGAGGATCCAAACACCCTTCCCTTCAAAACGCAGAATAGAAAAAACACAGGAATATGAAAAACGTAGGAATTGAAATTGTATATTTTTCTAATCCTACAGGAATTGAAAACACAGGAAATGGAGAGAATAGCCCTTTGATTATACCACAGGATACACTCAACAAAGGAAAGTTTCACAAGAGGTCTAACCTCTTGCTTATTTTCCTATGGAATTGATCATAGGAATGCAATCCTATGGAAGTTTTCCTATCCTCTTCCAATGAATCAAATGGCTCTATAGGAAAAAATCCTTAGGAAAATGAATCCTCCAAAATTCCTTTGCTAATCCTCCATTTCAAAGGGGCCCTTAGTATCACAATATAAAAATAAGGGGAAACATCCACTACAAATTTGGACGTGGACAGTTAAACTTATCTATCTAGATTCGTAGTACTATAATATTTCTTTTCGTATTTAGTGTCCAGTTATGTTTTTTAATTTGATACTAGTTTGAATTTGCTAGTATATTATATGACGGAAGGATTAGTTTTTCCATTTGTTGACACTCGAACTGAAACCTTACTGGTGTGTTTAGTTCACGTCAAAATTAGAAGTTTGGTTGAAATTGGAACGATGTGATGGAAAAATTGGAAGTTTATGTGTGTAGGAAAGTTTTGATGTGATGAAAAAGTTGAAAATTTGAAGAAAAATTTTGGAGCTAAACTCAGCCTCTGAGGATTTTGACTGGCAAGAGACAAGATGGATTTTGTTTTTCTTGTTTGAGAGTGAGAAGTGAGAAGGAAAGGAATCTTCAACTTCCTTTGCATCCCCACCACCGAGGTCCCATCTCAGATACCCGAAATCGTTAGGTTCATGAGTTTCTCTATAGTTATTCGAGGACATAAACGACTGAATTAACTATTATAAATTTGAATATGAGTTTTATAAAAATATTACAAAGAAAAAAATGTATATAGAAATCTTTTACGCGAAATGTACTATTTAGGAGCTTGGAAAGCATATATGCCAACGAAAATCTAAAATTCAGAATGAAAATAAAATACAATGCCTGTAGATATTAGATGAGCAAATTTAATGAAGCTATCACAAAGAACTCTGAAGTTGCAAAATAGCGTTACAAAGGAAAAATGCCATTGGGAATGACACTGACGAGAGTCTCTCTACCTGTTTACGTTAATTAAAAAAAGAACTTACCATTCATATAATGGTTATAAAGGCAGAGTATCTCTACCTTTTTACTTAAATAAATGGTGTTATGTTTTTCCATCCAAAACTGCTGTTATTGCATTTTTTTACAGAGAGAAATTAAGTTCCACGAAAGCAAACACTACCGTTGCTTTCTCTGTTATATAGTATGCTACAGTACGATCCTTTTTTTTTTGTTTTACATTTGCTACGATTCTATTCTATACGATGTGAAATCTACTCTATACTTTGATATGTAATAAATAATTTGTTTTCCTGAATTTATTAAGACAAATTGAGCATGATGTTGAAAATTCAACTAACACAGAGAGAGACAGGATCCGGCCGGCCTTCTAGTTTTTTTTTTTTTGAGAAACACAGTACAAACGCAGACGCTCACAACATGCGCATACTCACCCCTATGAACGCACACACGTACACCCTACCCCTATGAGCACCTCTATGAGCACCTCCGGAAGACTGGGCCGACATATCTTGAGATTGACGAAGTCACCACAGGCGCCTCGCTGTCGATGGGTACGTCACCTACCACTGAAAGAATAATTAGCCGTAAATGCGAGCACCCGTGTCAAATCTAGGATTTGAACCCAGGTGGGCTGGTTCCACCACAAGAAACCTAACCAGTTGAGCTATGCTCACTTCACCCGGCTGGCCTTCTAGTTAATCAAGACGAACCAGAAAGGAGGAACATGAAGATGTATAATGTGCCAGCAAGTTGAGGATAGGAATCATGTATTTTTTTTAACCGCCCCATGTTAGGTTTGACTGGAGCATGAGTTCTAAACGTCTATTCCGATCGGCTACTTCCTTATTCTTTGTGAGCACATCTTTCGAACTACTAAATATTGTGTTTCATACTTATGTATAAAAGTTTCTTTAAGAAAATCATATTAACTTAATTTTCAAGTTTGAAATAATTAATACCCAATTAACTCGTTTTGTGTGTTACCGAATAGATGAGTCCAAAACGCTCCTTCAAATGCAGCCTTATAGATGTCATAGGTTTATAAAATGGGCTAGTGTACTTTTAGGTAGTCGTGTCAAGATGATTAAGCAAAAGTTGAGGGTGAGAGTAGGACTGGTTCTAATTGCGAGCTTTTACTGGGGTTGTGGCTAACTAAGAATGGTTTTTTTAGGTTGCTTACAAATTGTTAATTTGATGCAGCGCTAAGGGCTCTTCAGGCAGCCTATTCGACAATGCACAATATAAAAGGTTGATGGATAATATGATTCAGCTTCGCCATGTGGATATGCTACCCGACGATCTAGAAATTGGATTGTGGTGTTTGGTGTGTCTAGAAATTTGATAGTGGTGTGTCTTTGTTTTTCGCTGGTCCATTTGTTCCAAGGTTTTCGGCTATGAGGGTATGTTAGCTCATCTGATCTTTGGCTGCCTGTGTGGAAGGTTGGAGCTAAAAACGGTAAAGCTGGTATCCCCAGCTATGTGTTCTTTAGCTATTGTTCTAGTGTACTCCCTCCATAAAAAAATCCAACGTAGAAAGGAATGTCACCCCTCCTATTAGTACAACGAATCTGGACGAGGAGGGGTCATATCCCCTCCTAGATTGATTTTTTTTTAGGACGGAGGGAGTAAGACTCTGTATGTTGTTTTGGCTTTTTAAAAAGAGGGTACTGTCTGAAAACAACAATTCAACCAATTTAAATAGTAGGCCAAAATAGAATCAATAAAACATTGAGTGAATTTCACCTTAGACCGCCTCTTCTTAATAAGGTTCTATTTATTTTGTATTTTCACATTAGGCCAGCTTTTTTCCCCTTTGGATTTCTCCTTAGACTACCTCTTTTACTTATTTTAGTTAGGCTTTGCGTGCCACCCGGTTTTCTCTCTAGGCACACTCCTCTTATCTATAGCACCTTACCGATGTTCACCATCTATATGGATTAAGGGAGTATAAGTTGAAACTTCAGTAATGAAATAGAGCTCGACCTGATATACACTTAGAATAAAAGAACTAAATATACGTTGTTTGGAGTCTTCAAAAAATTAATAATGATTTTAATTTGAAATCCCTATAGCTATCACTACAAACCAACAAGTAGAGAAAGAAGAGAGGGGGGGGGTGTCCTAGTTGGTTTGTGGCTTGGTGATGTAGTTTTCGTTGCCTTGGAAGGGAAAAATTGACGAAAATGGTACTCATACTTTACAGTTCAAATTCTTTCTAATAAAATCTAGCAGCTTGACTTTTGTGCCATGGTATTTTACAACCCATTTAGTTCACTGCAATGGTACTGAGCAGAAAATATTTGTAATGTAGACCTATATAACAAATTAGATAAAATATTTATTTCCTTGGAAAATAAATATTTTTCCTCCTTATTGCACGAAAAACGAAACCATCGAATTAAGTTAGGATCGTATAATGTATATCTAAGTCAAGGTTAACTAACTTTATAGGAAAAGCATAGCAATTAATATTTTTTAACACCAAACATATATTATAAAAGCATGTTTAACTGAGAATTTAATGAAATTAATTTAGTATTGTAAATTAATAACTGTGTTCTTTTATATGCTTGATCAAACTTCAAAAAAAGTTTTACTTAGCACACAGGACCAAAGGACCTCACACGAAGGGGGAATCTATTTCTGTGTGCCACTAGCTGTGGGCTATTGTAGATATCCTGCCCCCCTTTATCATTTTCTGGGATTGCATGCCCATTTGTACAATATTATACAGAGTATTTGCATTTGTTTGCATATGAGGCTGCAATGTGCATATGCCCTTTTTTTGGCGCATCGCTGCCTAGGAGTGCTTTCTCACGTGCTGTCTGGATACATCCCCTTCCATGCATGCATCTAAAGTCTTGGACCTGGAATCTTGTGAAAATTTCTATTATACTTAAGTTTGACACAAAATTAATTAGTAGTTGGTGCTTACTCTATCCTAAAATATAGCAACTTAGGACAAGATATAATGCATACTAGTACTAATATAATGTCCAGATTCGTAGTATTATGATGTGTTCTAATCATAGGTTGCTATATTTTGAAACTGATCGATGTAGTAATAATATATGCAAGACCATCATGCACACCCGCTTAAAATATAATTAGTCAATAATATCAACTAACATCCTTTGCATTTCATAATCTTTTCACTGGTGTTAGTTACTTAATTTATTTTTATTATTACGAGAAAGGTGTATACGCACCCACACCACAAGTGAATATGAGCAAACATATACTCGAAGGGATATGGACCAGTGACAAATTCCTAGCCCCACTAAAATTTTATTAAAAAACATCCGCGTGCATGTAATATTTAGGCAAGGAATTGTAGGGAAGGAAATGCTAACAGATGTATGGGAGGCAACATAATCAAATATTACACAAACAAACGACACAATCTATTTTAAGTAAATGAAGACAACATAAACGCACAACCTACAAATATTTCAAATATTACACAATCTATTTCAACGAAGACAACATACGACACACAAACGCACCCAATCTATTTTAACGTTTCTTCATGGGTATCTGTCCACCTAATCTATATTAAGTAAATGAAGTAATTAAATACATAATATAAGTTATAAACATTATACTTATAAATTATTTTAAAAAAAACTAAAGTGGGTCATTAACTAATATATACATACGGGTGATAATTGGCCTAGCTAAGTCCATCATAACACATGAGAAACATAATCTCTCCCTCTCTTGCTAGCTAGATAGGACCCAAAAACAACTACATGATAGCTAACTACCCAACAATCATCACACTATCAACATGGGGCTAAACTAATTTCTCCAAAAAGAAAGAGAAACATAATTGAAAAAGCCGTGTGAGAGACTAAAGGGCCTATTTGTTGTTAGCAAAACAACACTACAATCAAATTTTGATAATGCATGAATTGGAGTTATCAAAATTTGACAACGTAAAAGAAATGGAGATAATATTTGCTTTGAAGCCATATCAAACCTTGGGTTGGCATTAAAGAGTCGGAGTTTTAAGAGTTAACATTTTTTTCATAATGGAATTCATTTGGGCTTTTGCTTTAAAGAAGTTACGACCAATTATTATAGAGACTGTAGGATGAACAGCTGCGAATTAAAATAATTAGTATACCATCATAAATTTCCATTGTAGCTGTTTCTATCAGCGACTTACTAGTTGCATGTACTCCTTGTGTTACTTAAACAAGAAGGTAGAATCTTCGAAATCATAGTCTGATTATATTGTCGATCAAATTCCACTCCCAGCATCTCCAATGATTAATGTTGAACCAAAGCGGAATGTATCATCCAAGAGTAACTAAGTGGTAAATCAGTCGTTTGTCCATATCATGCCGCCACCATTGCGATGAAATCCAACCGGTTATGATACCGCCATAAGGATGCCTCACCAATTAAGATGGAACTTCCAACGCGACGCCTTCAAGAAGGTTGCAACACTAATTTAGAACATCGTCTTCATCGCTATTCCAGAAATATGTGCTGTCGCCGGCCACCTAGCTACATCCAAAATATGTATAATTCATTGGCTTCCCAAATTTTAATAGGATTGCTTTAGGCAACAAACAAAACAGGTTCCAATTTCAGAGTATAAAGTATTGGATATGGGACTTACACGTCACTCTATTTCTTGCCTTCATGTTCTTTGTTCACTATTGGTTGACTACATCTATATATATCGAAGTAATTAAATATATATATAGGTTTTGTATCTATAGATACACATTCATATATATGCACTCGATATATATAGACGCACATCTTCTCTTCCAAAAGCTGGAATACTCGATCCTCACAGTCACACAGCTAGCAACGCCGGCGGCCATGCAACCACTCGCTGCCGGCGGCGGCGTCTCTTGGCCGTTGTACGCCGCCACCGTCGCGGCGGCGCTGCTCGTCACCGCCATCGTCCTGCGGCTCGCCGCGCGGTCGACGGCGGCCGCCTGCAAGGCACGTCCCCCCGCCGGGTCTCTCGGCTGGCCGCTCGTCGGCGAGACGCTGCAGTTCATCTCCGCCGCCTACTCCTCCCGCCCCGAGTCCTTCGTCGAGAAGCGCTGCCGCCGGTGAGCACCACCGCCGCCGCCATGGCACCGGCAGCGCGCGTACGTAGTAGCTGCGTCTGTGGTGCTGAAAATTTCTCTTGTTCTTGTTGATTGATTGATTCCGTAGGTACGGGAAGGTGTTCAGGTCGCACCTGTGGGGGTCGCCGGCGGTGGTGAGCGCGGACGCCGAGGCGAGCCGCGCGGTGCTGCAGAGCGACGCGTCGGCGTTCGTGCCGTGGTACCCGAGGTCGCTGATGGAGCTGATGGGGGAGTCGTCCATCCTGGTGCTCGGCGGCGCCCTCCAGCGCCGGGTGCACGGCCTCGCCGGCGCCTTCTTCAAGTCGCCGGAGCTCAAGGCCCGGGTCACCGCCGACATGCGCAGCCGCCTCGCCGCCGCCATGGACGCGTGGCGCGCCACCGCCGCCACCGGCGCCGGCGCGGCCGTGCGCGTCCAGGACGAGGCCAAGTTGGTACGTACGTGGCATGACACGCGCTGCTACCTACCTAGCTATAGCTAAGCTAGGCTAACCCAAGAGAATATGAGGAGTAGCTTGCATTGGAGTGGATCGTTTGTCCGTTTATAAGTGTCTTTTTTCTTCAACTAATAGTGAAATTCATAGGAATTTCTTCCTAGAGAAACTTCAACCCCTATAGAAATGGGGATCAGAGCCTAGTTATCATGTTTATGGTTTACCTAGTTCATTATTAGTAATATCTACGGAAGTACTAGATATCCCAGTATATATAGGATTCTACAACATATGGACCGAGCTCCTAACTTGATGAAAAAGTCTTAGCCTAGCTAGAAATATATCCCTTTATGCAAAAAAAATATCTCGATAATATTGCGTACAATAATGCAAACTATATTAATTTTCTTATAAAATTTCTAGTGTGTAAGATGATTGTATGTGGGAAATATGTATTCTCTATATTATCTTTTTTTTGTTTTTATATATAGTAATAAATTTTATTGTCTACGTACGTGGCACATCTTATTGACTTCGATTCAAAAAGTCAAAAAATAATGCCATGCTTATACTGTACACTTAATTGGCATTTTTCCGTCGAATGTGGAATTATAGAACTCCTTGTTCTTTAATTTATTTGTTCTGATGTTGACTGGCTAACTTAATCATTTTTTTTTTGTTCCATCGCTTCATAGATTGTTTTTGAAATCTTAGTGAGGGCACTGATAGGGTTAGAGCAAGGTCAGGAAATGAATTACCTCAGGCAGCAGTTCCACATATTCATTGCCGGCCTGATCTCCCTGCCCATCAAGCTTCCAGGGACTCAGCTCTACAGATCCCTCAAGGTAAACACATATATTAGTCAATTCGGCATGCGAGTTGCTCCAAATTTCTGAACAATAATACCCACATGACAACCTCTCAATTTATGTTTCTTTTTTTTTTGTATATATACATCTAGGCTAAGAAGAGGATGACAAGTTTGATACAAAATATCATTCAAGAGAAAAGGAGGAGGATCTTTGAAGGCAAGGATCTCTGCGCTGTTTCGCGCGACTTGATCGATGTGCTGATGAGCAACGGGAGCGACGAGCTCAGCCTCACCGACGAGCTGATATCCGACAATATGATCGACTTCATGATCCCCGCAGAGGACTCCGTGCCAGTGCTCATCACACTTGCCATCAAGTACCTCAGCGAATGCCCATTGGCTTTGCAGCAACTAGAGGTACGGTATATATATGCTCTAAAATGATTTCTACTTTTAATTGTAACTAAATTCGGGTGTTTGAGAAGAGAGGTGCCAGGGATGGGATCCGGGTTTGAAATTCCGGTTCAAAATTTCAAGAATTTCCTTGTGGGAAGTGCCTCCGGCAAAAAAAAAGTTTCAAATTTGTTTGAATTTAGCAAAAGGTTGCTCAAGTTCAGTGAAAATCTATTCACTTTTAATTTTTTGGTTCAAAAATTCTTAAGCTGATCCCCTTCCTGAAATTTTTTTGTATTATGAAATGCAAATATAAACATATAATCATGTAGATATCATTGTCAATCGATCTCTTGCATGATCATGACTTGAACCATCTAGTGCGTGCATGATTAGTATAGTAGTGCTATTTGTCAATTTGACAAGCTGTGATATGATATCAATGTCCAGGAGGCCCAACTGACTGTTTGTTGCCTAGCTCTCTGGCGTGCAACCTTAATTAGATAACAAATTCTGATATGCCGGCAGCACCAGGGCATTTGATGTAGACTCCTACCTAAAAACACAAGCACTATTCTGTTGACCCATGCACATCATCAAGTCATAAGAAAGTCTTAATTATATTCCAAGTTGAATGTACGATAAGGTTTACAAAAGGAAATACTCCCCTTGTTTTCAAATAACCGAAACTGGACATTATTTATTTTTCAAGCTTTTGGCTACTCTTTTTTTTGGCAAAAAAATTCCAAATACTAAAATTGTGTTTTTATTAAAGTTTATATGCATCCTAAATATAAGCATAAAACTTTCATTTATTTTAGTCTATATCCTTTAGTTTAGGAGCAATTATTAGTTGAAGTTGAAATAGTAATACATTTATTTAAAAACAGAGAAAGTACTATATCCGGATTAATAACACTTGTCATTTTGAAAAAAACACGGTCTTTAAAAAATAACTTTGAGCACTATTTTCTATTATAATATTTATAAAATCTTCAATAAATATATGATTTTATTAAAGTATTTTTAATACTAATATATATATATATATATATCATATTTATAAGATAAATATTTTACAAATTATTCACACTAAAAAAATTTTAAATTTTGACATCAGCCTTGTGCAAAAAAGACAAGTATTATCAACTGAGGGAGCAGTACATTACTAGAAATTAATGTGCTAGCAATAAATGGAATATGTCCATTGATTTTTAACCTGTAGATATTTTTTTGAAGATTTTACTGTCCTAAAGAAAATGAGTAGAACAAGGAAGATGTACTCATCTTTGTACTTAATGCAGGAGGAGAACATGGAGCTGAAGAGGCAGAAATCAGACGTGGGCGAAACCCTAGAGTGGACAGACTACATGTCACTGACGTTCACGCAGCATGTAATTAATCAAAACATATTACATATGTTGGATATTCCAAGATTCACCCTACCGTATGTGTCTGACATGTGTGTCTAGAATCCACATATGGACTGACATGTCCAGACCAAGTCCTGATTCCTTAAGCTAATGCATAATCCCTCTGTAAAAAAAGCAAACAAACTTCTAGCTTGGCAAAGCGGAACAAAGGAGAGAGAGAGAAACTAAAATACCTAATATTTTAGTTTAAAAGAAGCCTTACATTAATAGATTAATAGTATAGTAGTATTGATGGGTTGATAGATAAGAAGTATTGAAGAGATGTAAGCCACGTATAATTTGATTTATTTGAAACAAAATTTAAACTCCATGAATTAATTTATTTTAGGACATGGGTATAATCTTCTAGAGTATATATACAACCAAACTCCGTCATATATACATATATATGCCAATATGAATGCATTCTTAAAACAGAATGCATTTTTACTTGTCGTCCATCATGCATAATTGCGAAGTTATGAACTATGTATATTTTGTGTGCAGGTAATCACGGAGACCCTACGGATAGGCAACATCATCAGCGGGATAATGAGGAAGGCAGTAAGGGATGTGGAGGTGAAGGGGCAGGGTGACGTGGTGATCCCCAAGGGGTGGTGTGTCCTCGTTTACTTCCGTTCTGTCCACCTAGACGCCAACATCTACGACGACCCCTATGCCTTCAACCCATGGAGATGGAAAGAGAGGGACATGGCGGCCGCGACTGCCAACAGTGGTAGCGGCTTCACTCCCTTTGGGGGCGGGCAAAGGCTATGCCCGGGGCTAGACTTGGCCAGGCTCCAGACCTCCATCTTTCTCCACCACCTCGTCACTAATTTCACGTATGTCAACTATACCTACCTAAGTACGTATGCATTCTCGCTTCAATTTGATCACGTTAACACGTTGTTTTGGATAGATTTTTTTTTATTACACGGAAGACACACCACACGCGTGTGCGAGCACGCACACTAACACTTATTCAAAAATAGAGACCAAAAAATTCTTAGCCTCACTATATTCCTCTTGAAAGAGTAAGTGCGTATACATAATATTTGTGAATACCATTATGGTCAAAGTCATGCACCCACTACTCCAGCATCACACTGCTAGTAATTCTCCACCGTTTTGGACATTGACGTAGTCTTAGAAATGCATATTGCATAATGAAATTTCTGAAATTTTGGAAGTTTGGGACTGTTGGTCCTGCTAGATAAGATATTCATTTGACCATAAAGAATTGGTTTTTAAATTTAGCAAAATATGTCCAAATTTTAATATTTGGGGTCTCGAACTTTCGAAATGCCAGTTTTATCAGTCCCCTTCCCCTCGATTTTTTTTTTAAACAAAAAGAGAGATCCACAACACTAAACCCCGGTTTCTACATATATCATAGTGTCTTTATAAGATATGTTAAAAAATATATGCATAGGGAATGAACTGGTGCTTACTGTTGCTTGAATGGATGGATCTCTGTTGTAGGTGGGTGGCACAGGGGGACGTCGTCGTCAACTTCCCAACAGTGCGGCTCAAACGAGGAATGCCCATCAAGGTCACGCCCAAGACATAACATGCAAATCAGTCCAGATCATTTGAAGGTGAGAGGAGAGTGAACTATACACGTGTATGTACAACAAAGAGAGAACAAATGACAGTTTAGATAAAAGGAAACCAGAAGCTACAGTTCAGTAAATCCTGTTTCTTTTTCTCTGTTTTTCTTCACCCCTTTGTGTGGCTATGTAAAGTCGACCAGTCTCTGTTCGAAGTTTCCCACCAGTTTGGTGAAAGAGTTGAAAGGCTAAAAGCAACAGCATGTAGATCAACAAACATGTGTAAATACTTGCTGAATCAGTGCTTTCTTCGAGTATTTCGAGCATGTGGCTAACTTGATGTGATTTGTGAAGTTTCCTCTGATGTCCTTGCCGCCGTTCATCCATTGGTGATACAGTGACTGAACACAAAGCTACCAAGATCAGAAATATTAGAGGGGCTGGGAAAGCAGGTACATATCAGATTAGCACCAAATCAACAGGATCGCAGAATCAGATATAAATGAGTAGAATAGAACAGAATTGCATAGGAATTTGGAGATGAATAACTAGTGACGAAATGTACTGTGCTTAGCTTCATGCAATCTGAAATTAACCAAACAGAATTACACATAAGTGATGGACTGCAAGAGTGAATGATAATAGATTCACCAGTCACTAGATGCATGCATTGCAGATTTAATTTACAGATGAGAACTCCGAACTTTGGAGCTCAAAAAGAAAAAAAGAACTCCAAACTCTAAGCACTATAGGGGGTTCACAAACACGAAAAAGCCAAAACAGAGAAATAACAGGACCGCAGACTCGAGTTAGCTTTGTACAATTTTGTCGCCTACCTCCAGGTTAAATATAAATTTAAACTATATGCACGACTTCTAAACATGGTACAACTCGCTAACTTACAACATGGCGACTTTAGCAATCTATGGACAAGGGGGTACAACAACAGGACAGCACAGTATACATTATGCAACTTCCAGGCTGGGGCACCTATACAGAACACACGCAGGAGGCTTGGCCATCTATCAATTCAGTTAACTATAGGTAAGCAATTAAAAATATCATTGCCCTTCAAAATTCGCATTCTAAATCATATCTCCAGCGGTTGATATGAATAAACTCTACAAAGAAGCAGCCAAACAGAATGTGGACCTCATGACACCGTTCTTCCATAGCAAATGGAAGCTAGGTAAAGATTCTTCGACCATTTCTCCTGCAGATATATTAAATCATTATAGTTGCACAAGTATGGCTGTTCAGTAGAATTTAGACAGAAAATCAAATTACCTTCACATGCTGGCTGGGGAAAGCAGATGTCCTCAGGGTTTCCTGTGTTTCATCAGCAGGCTTTCTTCTGGGAATGCTCAAGATAAATGCCGCCTGGTCCCATGTAGCTGCTGTTGCAGTTATGCGAAAACCATTGTCCCAACGCCGATGTATTCCCTCACTTGGATACAGGAAGTCAAGCTCCACAACCTACAAAAGAAAATTGTGTTGTCAACCGAAGGAACTGAATTTCTACCCCTATTGTATATCATATCACTGTTGAACCTAAGCTATCCTATTGAAGATTCAGAAAGGGAAAGCACATACATGTGTATACATGTTTTAGGTTAGTAAAAGGCCTGATTAGAAAGACAGAAATACCTGATCTGTAAAGCCAGCATTCCGGGACATGACCACTGCCCACCGGCTTCCTGCAGTGGCCATAGCAGTGACATAGAAACCCTCCTTCCACTTCTTGTTTATCCACTTGAAGGGAAATGAGTCGCTTACTTTGTAGGATTGTTGGGCATATTGCGTCCCTGCTCAAAATCAGTTACAATCTATAAGGACATGCTAGTGTAATAACAACAGGGGAACGTATCCTGTGCACACAAACTTTCCATGTACACACCAACTAATAAATTTCACCAAAAAATCTAGAAAAAAATGTATATGTACTTCGAATAGCATTACACTTATGTGTAAAGGCCTGGTTTAGTTCCCCAAATTTTTTTCCCAAAAACATCACATCAAATCTTTGGACACATGCATGGAGCATTAAATATAGATTAAAAAAAACTAATTGCACAGTTAGGGGGGAAATCGCAGGACAAATCTTTTGAGCCTAATTAGTCCATGATTAACCATAAGTGCTACAGTAACCCACATGTGCTAATGACGGATTAATTAGGCTCAAAAGATTCGTCTCGCGGTTTCCAGGCGAGTTATGAAATTAATTTTTTCATTCGTGTCCGAAAACTCCTTCCGACATCCGGTTAAACATCCGATGTGACACCCAAAAATTTTCTTTTCGCAAACTAAACAGGCCATAATCTTAATCTCAAATTCATTATATTTTAGCTGTAACAAAAAAGATACAGTTTCTGACAGTTTTAAGGGAATAAATCGGCAAGAATTTTTTCTTTTTTGTTGCTCCATATATAGAACGAATTTTTGTAAAACTCAAAGTACATGTACAACTTTTTGTAAAAATTTTTGGTGAAGTTTGTTAGTTGGTGTGCACGGTGTTTACACAAGAAGGCTTGTGTGCATAGGATATTTTTCTAAAATATATTCAGTTTCCAGAGCCTCAATTTTTATGCTTGCAACGTGCTGCTAAAATATCCTTGAAATTTGCATGTCCAGGCAAGATTAATCTAGTCTAATAAACCACACAACATACTTGAAACAAAAGAGTCCCACTAACATCTGTCAATGTCCTATTGATGTTAGAAAATAGATAATGCCATACAATATAGGAAAAGCTCCAAGATTACTGAGAAACCACAGAACCACAAAGCCAGGACATAAAATGATAGGAATCCTGGTACTTGGCATGCAAGAGTGCATGTCTTATTATTGAGAGCAGGAATCAATGATATACCTCTTGACATGACCACCAGAGAACTGCCATTGTTTGCACCTGCTAATGAAGTGATATAGAAGTTTCTCTCCCACTGATCCATTATCCATTCCTAAGAGCATCATAGGCGAGCATATCAAAACAATTGGAACATAGCAGTGTGAAACCATGTAAATCACACTTAGCTATTATTGAGAGTGTAAGCTGTAATATTGATAGCCACCGATGGATGAGAAGGATAGGAGCATGCAGGAAACAAAGAGTACTACTATAATAATTTTAATTACTCACCTTGTGAAGAAAATGTTGAGAAAGCTCATATACTTGAGAAGTAAATCCAGTGCCAGCATCCATTATTAAAGCCCACAGATTTGAACAAGAAGCCACTGAACTAATAAACAACCCATCTTCATTTCCTTTTGTAATATGCTGTGCTAACCGACCATCTGCAACATTGTAGTGATACCTGCAGAAGAAGTGTGGTCAGATTGAAATTCTCTTTCCAACTATAGTGGTCGATGCAACAGTTCACACCTTTGCTTCATAGGCCGTCTGGCATTATAAACACTAATCCATTGAGTTGCAGGCATGCCCATTCTAATCTTCTTTTTTGGCTGCTCATCATCATCTTCGTCCATCGTTAGGCGACCTCTTTTTTGACCAACCTGATATATAAGCTGGCAGAAGTTCAACAAACACTTAGTCTATTAGCTAACATCAACACAAACGAAATATTATTATACAAATAATGTTCTCCCCAAAGCTCTTGCCACAAAAGCAATGTCTAGGACCAATCTAAAATTTAGCATTTACATGACTTTTAGAATTCGGACACAGCTACAAGCCTATTAACACCTGTGAATTATGAGAAACAAGAAAGTTGGTAAGCAATGCAGTACCTTCTGAGCACCATCAGTGTTGATTGGCCTTATGTCTGGGTTTGGACCAACAATGCCATCAAAAAGAGAAATGCACTTTGCATAGTTTGGTTCTTCATCAAACTTTAAGTTCACTACATACTCAATAAATTGCCGGAAAGGTTGTGGACAGAAGCAGCACAAAGATTCTGGAGAGGTCGCCATTTTTTTCTTGCAAACAAGGAAACCTTTATTCTCTCCCTAAAATATATCAACACAAAGGTAACTAAGGACAAAAGGTTGCAAAACGAACAGATAAAAAAAGATTCGCACTGCAAACAAACTTCACCTGGTATCCTTGCCAAGGAAGGCGACCCCGTAAAAGAAAAACAAGTGTATAGGCAAGGGATTCAAGATCATCTCTTCTGCTTCCAGTTCTTCCTAAGTGAGCATGCACACTAGCATAGCGAACAGTTCCCCTTTTCAGGTAATCAGTATGACAAGTCAGTTTATTAGTAACACAAGAAAATCGAGGGCTTTAGGACTTAGTTTTCAATAAAGTATCTCCCTCACAAACCTAAAGATATCAGGCCTCTGATCATACTCAACATGCTCCCCCGAACCAGTGTCTTTCCACCTAGTAGCTGTGATGAGAATAAATATTGAGTACAAAAACAGTATAATGAGGTTCTTGTGAAATGAAACAGAAGTACCTAATCCAAGGTCAACAAGAAAAAGTTTTTTCTCTTCCAGGGTTCCTGGGGTTCCAAGCAAAAAATTCTCAGGTTTTACATCACCATGAACATACCTAACATAAATAAGAGTTAGCTATATTTCAAAATGCAACATGCAAAAAACTATTAGGCTTCACTGCCAAGAGAGGATCAGAGAAAAAAACAAATACCCTTTCGAATGCATCTTCTCCAATATGGAGATTGCTTCTATAGCAATACAAGCAACCATTTCAACAGACATTCTGTAATAGAAAGAAAAATATCATATTAACTGAGCTAATTAAACATGAACATTCAAGAATATATTGACGAACAACTAGAAAACTTACGAGTGGGAATTATTATTCCAAACATCCCACAGGCTTGGACCCAACATGTCCATAATCTGCATATAAGTTGGTTTGCATCAGAGAACTTCATGTTTTCTAGGTAATGAAGAACCAATCCATTTAATTTTGCTCTGTTCATGATTAATTATGAATCAATGTGATAAAGGAAAACAGAAATATCTTGGCTTGCGATTACTAAAAGTTGAAGATCCACAGAGTCAGGCTTTCATGCCTACTTTGGCAAAGTATAGTTAAGAGTGCCTTTCTAAATGAATGGTCTGACACACACTATAAACAAAGTTCTATCTTAAAAGTGTAATGATCTGAGAATACATATTTTACAAGATTATAGGAAAACATTTTTACTCCACATCTCATATCAAAACTTTGAGGGGAAGTAAAAAAGAAGTTTTCCCTAGTTTCTATAAAATACATGAACAATTTTATTTCTTTTGTTGGCAGATTTAGTGCAGCCTTAGCAGGATCTTTCTTCAAAGGCTATTGGATGTGAGGCACGAAGACAAACTACACAACATTGGAAAGGTATCGTTGCAGCATCGAGCATATGGTCAAAAGAATAGAGAAACAGACTGGACACTGGAAATAGCGAATTGAGAAGGTAGTGGTTTCTTGCTTCGCGAAATAATACATAGGACTCCATATACAGAGTGCTAATATATCTTGCCATCGAAGACAAGGACGGCTTGTTAACCGAAAACTTAACTAGACTTGCCTAAAATGGATTTCCCTAGCCGACTAGAACTAAAGTTCCTAATGCCTTGCACCTTCTTCTGTCATGCAAAAAGAAGTTGCTGATGCTGTCCTTGAGCTCCAACATACCTTCTGTAGTTCATCCACAATAGGAATTCAGAACATAATTTTAAGATTGTGCGCAATCTACTGCTCAATCTAAATTTATCTATTGTCTCTGTGCACAAAGGCACTGGTTGCAATGTTATTAGACCATCAATTTATCACTAACTAATGTTTGATAGACACATGGGAATTCCAGAGAACTGAAAGGATATTTGTGATGTTTGGCGTTTACAGATGATTGAGTGAAGAAAAATATGTTAGATAACGAGATTTTCCATCATACATCAGGGTGTAAAAGGAGCAGGTATTTCTTGCCTCTGCCTGCCCAGGAATTGTGGAGCAGATAGAATGGAGAAATGGTAATTTGGCATTATCCATATCCAATTTGGAATCAGAGAAAATTTAGGATATGATATGTTGATATATGATTAGGGCTATCCACTGACATACATCCGAATGCAAGTGTTGTGATAAACCTATCTGATTTCACTTAAGATTACCAACATTAATTGCTATCGTTTTGACATCTTACAATCTTAGTTATCAGTCTACCCATGCTCACGCTGAATGTACCCATATTGTCCATGGTCTCATGTAAGGATTAAAGGATGCAAACATAGTCTGTCCGACCAACTGACTGACAGAATGCAGAGTGGATACGGGATAGAGAAATGGTTATCCGGTACTATCTGATTGCGACTAATAAAGAAACATGGGGGAAGGATGCGGGAGTTGTCATCTCAGTTTGCACCCTCTCCAATTCCATCCTACATATGAATTGTCCATTGCAAGCTACAACTCCATTTTGTGTCGGTCACCAGCAACAAGATTGTGGAAAAATTTGACAATTTGTTGATGATGTTTTGAATTGATTCAAAGTAAAGATTCAATGTTGCAGCAGTAATCACTCGAACAACCAAATAAAAGATAATTCTTCTAAGTACATAAAACTATTCTGCTGTATGATTACTTCTACTAAGCAGCAGAACTTTGTTTATCGTATGCTTACATCATATGCAGAGCACCTTTCATCAATGGTCTCAAACTTTTAACTGATAATAACTGCCATTAATGTTTTTTCATATTATTGGACATTACCTGCTAATGTTACTAATGCCAGATTGCCCTTGCCAGTTTTAATGATTGAGTGAGCTAGTGCTATCCCTCCCTCCAAATGACTTCTACACAGTATACACTGCTATTTACTACTCCCTCCTACCCAAATTGATCATCATATAGTGGAATCTGAAATTTCTCAAACTGATCATCATATAACCGCATGGACACCGGTTTCATCGGAATACAATTAATGCAGCATGGGATAGTGTGTGCATGCTAGGGTGTAATTGGCATGGTCTTTTAATCGATGCATGCATTGTGGGAGAATGTGTGCATGGTGTCTTGATTGATGTGATTTAAATTATCCTTGGTCTTGGTGCATAAACATATATGATGATCAATTTGGGATGGAGGGAGTATATAACACATAAAGTGGGGCCAAGAGTATATGCTCCGTTACCATGATATAGTAATCCCCCTGCCTCCCTTTATAATGTACTCTTGGTACACCATGAATGCCGCTTAGAGTGCTGCCAAATGGATGTTTACAGAAAGAAAATGTTAGTATGCATTCTAGAATGCCAGCTGCCATCAAAATGTGTACAGAATAGCAAGGCGGACAAAGGTTGTGCTGAATAAAAAAACAGTTGATCATGCCAGAAAAAATGGACAAAATGTCACTTACTTGTAAACTTGCCACTCATAGGGAGCTCCATAATTGCAGCCTTTGCTGGTTCGATGTTCAAATTTTATTGCCACCTGGTATAAAGAAAAGCGTGAATATAAATGCAACTATGATATTTTAAATATGGAAATGAAAAAGACATCCGGATTAGAAGAGCTGACCTCCAAAGCATTTGCTCCAGGTGTCCTGTCGGTAACACCAGGAGAGGAAATACGCCGACCAACATATACTTGCCCAAATCCTCCCTTTCCCAGCTTTCTATCAAGTTTGTAAGTAGGTGAATTGGCAACTTGGACCTGTTCAAATAAATCAAAAAAGAATTTGGGTCACCCTCAGAAAATCACCCAACACACCATTTAAGGTACCCAGGCTATCCTATTCCGCTGTTTTGAAGTCAGATAGTCCTATAACTGCAGTAACTGAAACGAGATGCATGTACCTACAAGAGAATTGAGTATAGGCATCTATAAGTGTACATGGCTATATGCAAAATGAGAATGGTTTGGAATTTTGTATGAAAGAAAAAGGTCAGCTTGTGTTTTTTTGTAATGATAAAAATTAGGCCTCCAATGTATATTATGCCACAGAACTTAATCACTATATAAAATGCAAACAAGAAAAGGGAGACAAACAGCTAAGTGCTAGCAATTAATAGGGGCATCAAATGCAAAAGATTTGAAATATATAGTTATCTTGAGCAGCAGGTAAACATACTCATCTATGAAAACTAACATCAAACTTCAGTGACTGGGCTATTACCTAATAGAATTGCTGTATACATTAGCAGCTTTCTGTAGATTAAAATGGGAGGCCTAATGTGGACATCCTATTATATTACTTAATCATTGCTATGCAGTATACAGTAATATTGTGTGGATGGAACAAGCCCAAGGTGCAACTCACCCAATTCTCTCAATTCCATTATATATAACAGGTCAACTAAATGTTCTCCCCTTTCATCACACATCCACATGGAATTTAACCATTCTATGTACTACTATACTTTAGACAAGATCATGAAACACACAACATAGGGAACTTGGGGGTGTCCTAAGTATCAACAAAAAGATCACACAAGTTAGAAAACAACATTGCTGCGTCACTGATATGCAGGTCCAGACCCCATATGTCATCCTCATATGTATATTTTAATCTATACATGTTTATAGTATAGCTGAACAACTTTTCGCTATACTTGGTAGCTCAAACAGTCATGTTATTCAAATTTCAATCTGAAATGTTAAACAGCATGGTACTATAAAATATGAAAACCATACACTTCTTTGACTGTTGTTCAGTATGCCACTTTCAATCGAGGCCACTAGATCAAACCCATTAAAACATCAATCATCAGATCATACATACTCGAGAGATGCTTTGATTAGACACCTAGTTGAAAGGGTGGAAGTACAAATACTAAAGAAGTAAATAATATAAATGCATGCTATTTTGCACAAAAAGTGGCACGCACATTGCAAATGGCAAACCAGAACCAGAACAAGAACTATATAAGGTTTCATGTTGCTCGTCTATAAGAAAAGCGCTTGCCGCCCTAAAATAATAAATACTTGCACAACATATCTCAACCAACCTAATCTATTCACTAGTCACTACATATAAACACCTCCTTTCAGAATATTGCAAAACACAGTAATGTAGCCCTTTTTGCATAAGTAACTACTACATTAAAACATTCGAACTCGTGCGCCTATTTGTCAGATAAGGAAACACAATTTTTTTTCTAATCCCCAACACCACAAGACAAGAGCATGAAATCTGCGCACAACATTTCATACTCATAACTCATCCATAACACCAAATAACCTCTCGAATCCTACTGTTCCACAGGTGATTATCCACACTATCCCATACCTAACACCAATTTTCATCCATCCTCGCGCTTCTAGCATGCAAATTCACCCCCCAAGGCCCCAACCCCTATGCACTACGGCCAAGCGGCCTCACACCCTCATCGCTTCCCCCCAAGCACGAATTGCGAGTCCAATCGCGGGTGCCCAAACCCTAAACGCAGTGCCCAATTTCGAACCCACACTACTCGTGGCAAAGGCAACAAAGGGAGGAGAGGAGATCGATCCTCACCGTCTCGGGGAGCGGCGTGGAGCTCCCGTCGTCGCCCGGCGCCTCGCCGGCCTTGTCCCCGCTCCCGACGACGCTGTCGACGTCGTCCATTACCACTTCCCCCCCCCCCCCCCGCTCTCCAGTCCCACGAACGCGGCTCGGAATCTCCGTCACCGGGAACCGCCGCGTCGAGAGCCGGGGCTCGCCGGCGTGGTGTGTGCGTGGATGCCGCCGCTTCTACGAGGGCCTCCACCCGGCGTGGGGGTGGATTGGTCTAGGGTTTGGAGCGGAGGCGGCGGCGGCGGCGAGGCGGAGGCGAGGTGGTCGGCGACGGAGAAGGGAAGAAGAAGAAGAAATAAAAGGCGAGAGAAAAGCAGAAAGGAGAGGAGAGGAGAAGCGATGGAAAATTCTGGACTCTGCTCGTGTGATCGATTCCTCCGGCTCGTCGGTTACGGGAAATTTCATTTTACGCCTTTCAGTGGGGAAGACGTATCAACGTAAGTATTTGCGCTTTCGTGAACCGTCGGGCATCTCGTCCGCGTGGGACGGCGTTTTTGGTTTTCGTGGAAGTTCTGAGAAATTGATCTCGTGATGATAGAGTTCTTAGAAATTGGATACATCCAGCCTTTACTTAGAAAAAAAAAGCTATAGTTATCAATTATAATGTTTTTGGATAAACCAAAAGCAAAAGTTCAACCTAATAAAGTTAAAGAAAGGATATACTTGAGAAGAACAAGCACATAAGAAGACAACTTAGGTTGTGTTCGGTAGCCATGGTTCCTAACTTATATTTCTCGTTTTTTACGCATACGCTTTCCAAATTGTTCAATGGTACTCCCTCCATCCTAAAATATAAGCACTTTTGAATTTTGATATGATATTCGAGATGTTACTTTGACTAACAATATCTACAAAAGTAAGATTTTTTAAATAAAAATAGTAGTATATTATGATAGTTTGTTCAATGATAGATCAAGTAACATCAAATTTACATGATTGATTTTTGTTGCTATTAATGGTCAAAATTAAGAAAGTTTGACTTGGCACTGTTGTAAAAATACTTATATTTTGAAGCGGAAGGAGTATGTAATCAATACTTAATTAACCAGGTACTAATGAGTCGCTCAGCCTTATGGTGTTTTCTTTTACCACCTCTTTCGTCTAATACTTCATTGTTTTTATGCGCACGCTTCCTAAACTATAAAACAATGTGTTTTAAATTCTATAGAAAAGCTGCTTTAACAAATCTGTTAATCTATTTTTTAAGTTCATTTTAGCTAATTTCTAATTAATAATGTGTTAATAGACAACTTCATTTTACATACAAATTTTACATACAAGGAGGTGAAGTTTTCAACCTCTACCTCCGAATGCAGCCTTATCAGGTAAACAATTTGATTGCTAAATCTTTATTCAGTGTGGGGGAATTTCTCATGCTAGATTGATGTAACTTTCTACTCCTAATGATGTGTATTTATTTTTGTGTTTATTTATGATCCTTTTAACAGATACAATCAACGAGATGACTTATAATTATCGCTATTTAATAAAAAGAGCACCACATGAAGCTACATCGTTTCATTAATCTCCGTACATTTTTACAAGGTGCTTTGGTGATACCGGATATGACTAATCACAGTACTATTTTGGATTAAAATTAAAACGTGTTCTACTAATATTTTGGTAACTTAAATAGTAGACACTGGTGGGTTCAGTTTGAAGCCAATGTTCAGCTTGGCACTTTTTGATAACATTACACTATCCAAATGAATCAATTTTCTTGGGCTTCTGAAAGACAAAGAGCCTAAGCCCTAGATGTGGCCCAAGTATCACACGAGGTTTAGTGGTCAGGCCCAACCCAAGGCACACGACCTCCCCGCATCGCTTCCTTGCACGACTGCGCTAGTATAACCTTCTGTGAAGTAGTAGCACATATTTTTCTTTCATTTCCTTCCCTTTTTTTTTTCAAATGAAAAGCAGCACCGATTTTGCTACTAGTAGTACTAATTAAAGTCATCATCATTATTTTTTAAAAATAATAAACACAGAACAACGCATACACTCATCCCTATGAATGCACGCACGTAAACCTTACCCCTACGAGCATCTTTGAAGACTAGACCGACAAATCCTTTATATTGATGAAGTCACTATAGGTGCCTCACTGTCGATAGATACGTCACCTACCACTGAAATCACAATGCCATTAAACCCTACCCTATGAGCACCTTCGAAGACTGGGTCGGCAAATCCTTGAGTTTGACGAAATCACCACAGGTGCCTCGCTGTCGCTGTTAACAAGTACGTCGCCTGCCACTGAAAGCACGATGCCATTAAATCCTGTAAAATTCGCTCTCATGGGAAGTCAAACCCAGAAATTAAGGTGCTACTGAGACTCTTATAAGTTATAACCACTAGGCTACAGGCCCTTTCGCATCATCATCATTATTTTACATTCAAGGAGATACCAAAGTTTATGTTATAGGAAAAGTGTACATCTCTACATATTATTTTATGACAAATGAGTTAACCAGGCGTAATAACAGAGAATAATGATGTCAAGCATTCGAAAATGAAAAAAAAAAGAGAACAATTCAGTGCAACACAAGTCTGCTTTCATCACTAACCATACACGAGAAAAAAAATAAGAGAATATTTTAAAGCTCCTCGTGCTCTAATCAAGGTTCACTGCTACAGAAAACATCTTTCTAAACTGTTAAAAGTGATTTTGAAGGCGGTCAAGCCACCCATAGCGCTTTAGTTGTCTGTAAAGATTACGATTGGGTAGGTGTCATAACTGCACCTGAAAACCAATTTTCGCAAACTGTCAAGTTAGGATACCCAATTGCAACGACCTTTCCAAAAACAAATTAATCCAGAAACCCTAGTGTTCGTCCTCGAAGCCGTCACCGCCGCCGTTAGAACCCACTGTCATCGCAGCTAACAACTGGCAAATTACAGTAGTCATCGTAGCCCTCGTCGTGGTTGAGGTCGTCATTGTCTATGCATGGTCGTCAGATCTGCCTCCTCTTCACCACATCGCCTGAGCCCGCTGCGGATCCACTGCTCTTGAGCTCACCGCCGACGGATTCGACGCTCCCATGGCCGTAAGCAACGAATCCCCTCTTCCATGGTCACCACTGTCGCATGAAGCCCACCGCTAGCATGGTCGTTGCGACTACTTGAAGCCATTGCTTCCGCCGTCCTCGGCCTCCCAACAGCGGATCCACCAGTCCCGTAGACGCGGGTGGTGGATCCGCCTAGCCCGAGGCCACCGCCACTCCCCAAGCCCATTACGCCACTGCCTGGAGAGGTGAGTAGGTTGGCTGAGAGTGGGATATAGAAGAGAGTAGGGGCGGAGCCAGAGAGAAATCAGGGGGTGCCTAACCTTCCTTTGCGCACAACACAAACCAGGAGTAGTATTATGCAGATAATTGTGTATCCTAAACATCTATTCTCCCATTGATGGCATTATACTAAAAGGAAGTGTTCAGAAAAAGGGCAGAAATTGTGTACCTGAATTATGAAATCAGCTAAAAATATTTGTGAAATTGATAATTTGTCAATCGTATAAAAAAGTCACAAATCACAAAATATATCATAAAAAATGTGATATCACTGTCTTCATTCATCCATTAGGACTGAATAAAGAAAGAGAGGAACATAGTTAAATTTTAAGTAAAGAATAAGTCATGAAATCATTTACAAATACAAACAGTTATCTATTCGAACTATGCACAACAGTACGGTCAAATACTCAAAATTTGTGAAAGTTCAACTTGAAACCAGACATTAAAATATAGAGAAAAAACTATTCAAGATTAATTAAAAAATTTCAAGCTTTATGTTGGTACATATTACATTAACTGAAAACAAAAGAAATTAAGGATGACATGGGACAAAAGGACCTTGCATCTGCTCACTTGCTCTAGTGCCCGGTTGGCATCATTGGCTTGCCATGTCGGGCTGTTGGAGAAGGCGACGCCGTCCAGTCATTCCACGAGGAGATGGTGATGACAAACTTAGACTCTCCTCACAGTGCTCACCCTAGCCAAATGCCAACAAGCCAATAACTATAAGGCAAAATCACCCAATCAAAGATTCAAGAGCAGCAGCGAAAGACGAAATCGGCATGGCGGCGGCACAGTGTGACGGCGTTCTATTTTAGCCAATGGGCGACGGCGTGGCGTGGCGATTTTGGCCAACAGGCGGCGGGCCGGCGGCGGCGCAACGCTGAGTCGAGGAGAGAGAGGAAGAGGTGGAAGATGGAAAGACGATGCGTGCCGTGCCCAACGATTGACGTTGGATTAACATGTGAAGCGCTAGCTGTTGCCTTGTTGGGCCTTGGTGTCTTGCAGATTTTGGGCTGAAGGCCAGCGAGGGGGTTCCTGAGTTTTTTACTAAGGGGTGCCTGTATGGTGGATTTATAGGGGTAATAGCTAATTTTTTGTTTCGGCCCGGGTGCCTAGGAACCCCCCGGGCCTATTGGGCTCCGCCCCTGGAAGAGAGGGGTGGTGGGAGTGAGGGAGAGGAGTAGGAAAAGGAGAGGGAATAGGAGAGAAAAGGTAAGGGGCCAGATGAGGGAACTGAGGGGAGAAAAAAATAGAGTGGAGGAGTACGGCTATTGTAGGGGTTGGAGAAGATGGAGAAGATAAAACATCGTTGCGACGGGACTTGGCCGAACATCCCGAATGAATTTTCACAAACAGATCTCTTTTTAGCCCGATTGTGAAAATAATGAGGTATTCGTAAAAATCTAACTATTCTATAATAGTGCTTTTTCCGGGGACACTTTAGAACTTAAGAAACGACGTACAAATGTTCAATACAAGCGGTTCAAATCCTGTAGTAGTATAATTTAGCGGTCAGTTATACTTATCCTTGTTTCATCCTGCTATCTCACGTAGTTCATGCATGTAATATTCGGTGAATAGTCTACTGTTCTCGCGTAGCAAAGCTATATTGTGCTTGCGGGTGCACATGAACCCCCAAATTTCTAATTTCTCACTTAAAAAAACTAGAATGTACAGTATTATACTGAAATTTTCTAGATTTTCAATAGTAGTGCACATCTGTTTTGATGCTAGCTTCGCCTCTGCTCGCATATAAGCCTCCTATAACATACTATCATCTAACATTTAAGTTAAAAAAAAACTCATCTAACATTGTATAACTAACATGTAGGTAGGCTCTTCGCGTCAGATAATTGGTCAGGAAAATTAGTTCATCGATACTTGAGTTCCGTCGAAAAGTGAGATGCGCAAACTGCAAACACAACAAGCATGCACCGTACCGATATGATGCACATGCACGGCGACTGTTGCTCCGATCCAAGTGTTATAATCGTGTTCCAAATCTCCGAAAGTAAAAAGGTTAATCTCCAAAGTTCGATTAGAATGAGAGTCACGTCATCTCACAATTATTGACCCCGATTGAAAAGCAAATCAAGTGAGGTAGGATAAATCTCAACCATAAATGAAGGATGGAGTGGGAGTCATAATACGTAGTATTACAATTCGTGGATAAATTTAAATTTACCATCAAAATACGTATTATAATTGGTGGATAAATGAAATATCTCAAGCAGCAGCGAAGAGGAGGGTTATGGTTGGATACATAGAGAGGACGGAATAACGTCGAAGAAGATGAATAGAAAATTTAAGACTTAATCACAGTCATTGCACTCATTGTTTTGTTCAGTTGAAAGATGAGTATGGTATTTCATATTTCAATCTTATTTATAATATTATTATAAATAGCACATCCATTAAATCAATTAAAGAAAAGAAGGTGACAAGCGCAGTAATGAAAAAGAAATTATTAGCCGTTATAATAAATATTTTTATTTTAGAAACAAGATAAATTTGCGAATGTCATAGAAAATATTTGATGCATACATTTATTAAAAATTTAAGTTAATTATCTATACCTAATTAAAAAATAAGTAAGACTTCCTTAAATTATTCTTGTCCGTCATTTTTTTTCTTCCGCAACGTGGTTTTTTTTCCATGGTTTAACGTGGTTTTTTGCCTGGTTTTTTTCCGTACGGTTGGTTTTTTCTCCGCACGTGGTTTTTCTTTGGGCCCGGTTTTTTGTCCGATTTTTTTGTTAGTGGGTCGCGATTTTTTTGTTCCGGTTTTGTGGTGGGCCCCGTATAAAACCAAATCGGACCGGAAAAAAATCAACTGGCAACACGACAAAAAACCAGATCGAACAAAAAAACCGTTCACCCGTGACCCGGACAAAAACTACCAGATGAAAAACCTCGGCGACCTGGATCGGAGCAGAAAAACCATGTGTATTACTAAAAAAACAGATCAACCATGTGTATTATTAGGAGAAAAACCACATTAGACGGAAAAATATAAGCAACCCGGATCAGACCTGAAAAAACCATGTGTATTATGCAACATGTATATTATTAAAAAACCAGATCAGGCAAAAAAAATCGGCAAAAATCATGTGTATTATTAGAAGAAAAGCGAGATTGGACCGGAAAAAAATGAGCGACCCAAATCAGACCCGGAGGTCGCCGTTGTTGTTTCTCTCTCTCTCTACCATGTTGTCAATCGCGTTTCTGCTTTTATGGTTTTCTTCGTTACCAATGTCCACCATCAATAGATGAGTCTAATTGTGGGACACGTCCTACCACAGTCGTCACCGCCGTTTGATCATCAGACCATCCACGCCCATCGTTAGTATTATGAGAACATGAATATATCAATATTAAATAGTGATCTTTATCCATCCTAATTATCATTAAAATTTCTAAGCCTAGCTAAGAAAAAAAATTATCTATAGCGAAGCCCGGGTATTTTGCTAGTTATAAACAACATGTATAGAGGGAGACTCTAGTCGGACGAACGTGGGACATAATGCGCTGGTTAGACTTGGTGTCTGTAAAATCTTTTGTGTTAAAAGTCGTCAGGCTAGGCTGGCTGGAGTGCTGGACTGTCTGCAAGAGTAAAAACTGTCTGCAAGAGCTAGGGAATCTTTGAAATTGTTACTACTACTTACCGACACCTACCCCCTCAATGGAAGATTTGGCATAAAGATGCTCTTTAACTTCTTTTAGGACCCATGCATAAAGGCAATAAAGCAAGCACTTTTAGATTCAGACATGCCAGATACTCCCTCCGTTTTTTAATAGATGACGCCGTTGACTTTTTATCACATGTTTGACCATTTGTCTTATTTAAAAAATTTACATAATTATAATTTATTTTGTTATGAGTTGTTTTATCACTCACAATACTTTAAGTGTGATTTATATATTATACATTTGTAAAAAAAATTTGAATAAGACGAATGATCAAACATGTAAGAAAAAGTCAACGGCGTCATATATTAAAAAACGGAGGAGTGGTTGCTGAACATGGAACACTATCGATCCACATTTGTTTTGAATATGCATATAGAATTTGAAGAAGAAATTTGTTAAATCATCAATCAATTTTTTTTTAGTTTTTCATTTCAAATGAAATGATCATGCGTGCATATTTTATGTTTGAAATTAACTAGTAGTTACAGAATTCCAATGGACTTGACAGATCGGATGCTGGGAATGGTGGGGCTCGAGCCCGAAACTCCAAAACGGCTTCGAAAAGTCCCAGTGCAAGACACTAGCAGTGTTTAGTACTCCTACTAGCTAAACCCAACTCCCTATATTGACACTGCTTCAATACGTTGCTTCCATTTCATATAATCATTTTAATATTTTTTCTAATCAATTTTTTGTTTGATCAAGTTTATAAAAATATTAGTAACATTAACAACACAAAATTAGTTTTATTAAATCTAACATTAAATATATATTAATGACATGTTTGTTTTAGGTTAGAGATGATATAGCTTTTTCTAAAAAGTTGTACACATTGGGGAAAAAATCAAAGTGTTTTATATATAAAACGGGGGAGTAATTAATACTCTTTCCATTTTATTTTATAAGTCGCTTTGACTTTTTTAAGGCCTGATCAAATTTATAGAAAAATTTAGCAATACTTATAACACCAAATTAGTTTATTACATCTAACATTAAACATATTTCTATAGTTTCATAAAAACTATTGCTATATTTTTTATAAATTTGATTAAATCTAAAAAAGTTTAATTACTAAAAAGTCAAAACGACGTAATATGAGACGGATGTAGTATAACTTATTTCACACCCAAGTCCTAGATGTCATATACAAATTAAACTACGTCTCAAGCAAAACTCAATCTTCTTTTGTTTTAGAGTACCGTTAATTAAATTCCCCCCTCATCATAACTCCTTTGTATTTGCCACATCATTATAAGTAGTCGTATGTACCACATCGGCAGACAACATATTTAATTCTATGGATACTATCGTGTACGAAGTATTGGGACATCATGCACAGAAAAATATTTAGCTAAACTCTTGGGTGGCTATTCTAGTTACAAAATTTTTTAGAAGAAATTCAACGAGATAGATTAATATGTGATAAATTATTCTACAAACATACAAGATTAAATTTAACTTTTACAAGTTAAAGAAAACAATTTTAACTGCGAATATACGTCAACTATAGTTTAATTTGTTTTAACTTATAGATATGATAGGTTGAATTTTAACTTACATCTTTATATAGAGTGATGTGTTATATATTAATCTATTTTGCTGAAGTTTTCCATTATCAGTTAGTAGATGACACGTAAATAACAGGATAGAATGTCCACTACCCCGGCCGCATGCACTTGGCTCGCACGCGGTCGCCGCCGGTTGGGTGAGGTGGTGACTCGGCCGGAAGCCGACGCGTACCAAGAAAAGCCGCGCGCAAAGGCGCAGGAAAAGCGACCCCCTCGCTTTGGTAGCGCGTGCAGGCGATCGATCGAGAGATGGATGGATCATTGGTGGCGAGCGAGCGAATCGTAAAGCAGCCAGAGCCAGCGTGGTCACCACGACGACGACGACCCAAACTAAAGATGGCCAACTCACATCTCATCTCATCTCATCACGATCACGGCCTTTTCTTTTAATTTCTCCCTTTTTTGTCTGCTCCAATCCATTCACTTCACATTTTGGTTCATCTATAGGTACATGCATGGCCTGCCATGCGTGCATACTATTTTTTTCCGTTATAATGGATGACACATATACGAAGTGAGCGTAACTCAACTGATTAGATTTTTTTATGATATTTGTATTTACGGCTAATTATTTTTTCAATAATCCATAAGCGACGTATCCGTGTGATACATTATCACTAAAGTCTATATATACGATATTGGAATAATATATTATTGGTAGCGTCCAAAAAGGATGCAACTGAACATATGCAAGAAAGCACGCAGCATATATACAGGCTGCCCTGCCGTGCAGTGCAGGTGAGGTGAGGACATATATATGTAGACGCACATGAACTAGGAATACTAGCTATTTGAGCAGGCAGGCAGGGCATCTGTAGGCTGTTGTTGAGAGGAAAGGGTCAGGTTTGCTTAGCATTATTAAGGGCCTTTAACCTCACCATCTTCTTTCTTTTCCGATCCTTTCCTACAAGGGTGTGAACTCAGATCCCTGCCTTGTTCAGACATCAACCTAAGAATCTCAAAGCTAGGGCTCATACTGCCGGCACTGCATGTACGTACTTGTCGGTGCATGGTAAGTATATTCATACATATACGTACCGACCTACTACCAAATTAATTTTCTTAATTTGTAATCGTACGATAAAATTTAACAGTTTTGTTAAAAATATGGCATGACATTTTTTTTTTGTTTTGCGATTGCACTCTTTCCTATATATGTAAGTATGTGCTCATACTGTATCTTCTCTTTCAATTAGATAAAAAATACTTTAAAAATTATTTTTTATATACTTTGTGTATTAAAAAATTACAATGTAAATATTGAAACTAACATGGTCAGTTTTGAAATTTATAATATAATTATAATGTAATTAAGTACGTAATCTATAATGTAAAAACGACTTGATAGTTTTCTATATAAAATATATATGGGGCCAAAAAGTAGATACTCTCTTAAACTAATTGCTCCACGAACTAATTAAAACTCGTTTGGCGACGAAAACGATCTCAAATTTGATACAAATGCATGAAAAATACTCCCCATGTAGCCAGACACCAATATCATGGTATAATAACAATTTAATTCGTGTACGCACGTATGTACGTACGAACGCTCGTATACGCTGCCAAGTATGTAGAATCCTCCGCTGCATCCGCATCGCCATCGCCCCATGCATGCATGCAACAACACAATCGAACGTACAAGCTCACGCCACGTCGCCGCCGCGCGCATGCTAGAGCTTGGCGGCGCCGGCGACGGCGCCGCCGCAGCAACGCCAGCGGTGGTATATCGAGCTAGCTAGGGAGCACGGCCGCCGCCGGCCGGCTACCTGCCGCGGCGGCGCAGCTGGCAGTCCGGCGTGGCGGCGGACGGCTGCATCCGCAGCTGCTCGTAGAACTTGTTGATGAAGTCCTCGAACTCGGCGTCGTCCACGCGCTGCTCGCCGCCGCCGCCGCCGCCGTTCTCCGGCACGGCGGGGAACGGCGAGTCGGTGACGCGGAGCGGCCGGACACCGGCGGGGCTTCGCCCCAGGATCCACGCCACCATCGGCGACGGAGTCGCGGTGGCCCAGCCGCCGCCGCCGCCGCCCTGCACCGCCGCCGCCGACGACGACGGCGTGCCTTCCACCTCGGCGCTCATCATCTCGAACGCCCGCGCCACCGCCGCCGCGTCGAGGCCGCCATACTCGCCGCCGCCTCCGCCGCCGCGGCGGCCACCGCCGCCGCCGCGGCTCTTGAAGGGGAACAGCCCGTAGTGCGGGTACGACGACGGCGTGGTGGTGCAGCTGAACTCCACCTCCCGCGGGCGGCGGCCGTAGAACGACGCCAGCGCGGCGGACGACGACGACGACGCCGCGAGGTGGTGGCCGTGCCCCGCGGCGGCGTGGTGGGCGAGGAGGCCGCGGAGCGCCTTGCCGGCGAGCTTGCCGCGGCCGAGGAGGACGTGGAGGTCCACCATGAGGCGCTTCCGGCAGAGGCCTCGCCGGAGCATGTGGCACACGGCGAGGACGACGTGCCACAGCCGCCGCGCCATCCCGGCCTCCATGGGCCGCCGCGCCGGCGTCGTCGCGAGATCCATCAATTTTACCCAATAATAATAATACTCAGGGGTGTATTTGCAAAAACGCAACACACACACACTAAAGAGAAAAACGAAGGCTAACGGATCGGAGAAGGGACTGGTTGTTAATTTTGTGAGGTTTCGAGGGGCTGATTAGCTTAATTGGCTAAACTAGCGAAGGGGTTGATGGAATGGAATGAGTAGGATTGGGGGGGGAGGCAGAGGAGGTATTTAAGGGAAGGAAAGGCTTCAAGGGACCCACAAAAACACAACTTAATTTGGAAGGAAGGGTTAAGTCTAGTTTAATTATTTACTGATAGTATGATGCTACTGTTTTTTCTGCTGCTTGGACCTGAGGCTGCTGTTAGCTTAGCTCTGTTCATATTGTCATCTTTGAATACTCTGTCTTTGTTTGGTTGACAGCTAAAGGCTGTTCTACACATGTTACGTTTTAAGTCAAACAATAAAAACTTTTTTAAAAGTCTGTTGAAATATTTACACTGGGCTAGCTATTGTCCGTGCGTTGCAACGGGATTTTAATTTTAAAAAATTATTATTGTTAACCTATTGCCATCATCATCATCATTATTTTCTACATATATTTGTTCATAACATACTTATGTATATATTTGTTATTAACATATTGATCTTATACTTTCTCCTTAAAAAAAGTAGGGTGTCGATGGTACGAGTGGTGGCAGAGTTATCATTCACCATCATCATCACTCTTTTTAAAGGAATATAGATATATGAAAATTGTATGCATATAAGTATATGTTTGTTTTAAAAACTACTCCGATCCATAATATTATAATTTAGAAGTGCTACAACGTGTAGTTTCATTAGTTTTCCACAATATTTTGCCATAGTAATTAGTGGTTGCATCTCGACGACGACTGGTTCTGTTCAAAACGATATGATTTTGTAACTAAAGGGTGTAATAGTGATCAAACTTTACTAATGGAATGCTAATGGGAAAGACTATAAGAGATTAGCTTTGGTGCTACTTGGCTTGTGGTTAGGTAGCAGTGACAGTGATTGTCTGATTGACACTTAAAGATGAGATAGTCTCAAGTCTGGTTAATAATGTCTATGTTTTTGTTGGTGTGAAATTGACACAAATAACTTAACAATTAACGTCCATCTGTGGGGAGTGGTTAATTCTCCCAAAGTTTTCCTTCATTGGTCAAGGCTTAAAAACGTTGCTTTTGGAGAATATGCCCTTGATTCCTTAAACCATCCATATATCTTCTTGTAGGAAACTGAGAGGAATGTGGTGGCAGATGCAAAACACAAGAGGAAGAAGGATATGTTAATGATGATCAGTGAAGGATTAATTAATAAAGGACACTGCTATGGAACTAGTAGTGCTTCTAAATACCCCGCTCCAAAAAGCACAAGCTAGCTAGGTCCCAAAGATTTGGAATATCTTAGGTGATATAGATCGAGCATCACTTTGCAAGTTAATTACACAAACCTGTCTTTTCATGCTTTTAGAAACACATGTATTAGGAAAAAGAACAAATATGGACGTTTATATGAACATTCTGTGCGCTTGTGTTAAAGATTAATTTACAGCATATGTGTTGGATTAGTAAATATTGCCCAAATGACGAAACAAGAAATCCAGATATTTTTTTTCCTGAACACGCAAAAGCTTTGCATCTGTAACTGCCAAAGAGAATTGAAGTGCACCCTCCATCCATAAGTATAAAACATTTCTAGATTGGTCTATGTGATTAAATTAGGGCTAGTTAGGGATAAGATAGTAAACTATTAAATGAGTGATAATTAATGGGATAAGTAGTAGGAGTACTCTATAAATCCACAACTTTCAAACGCTTAGAATATTTTATATCTATGCTTATATAGAGGAAGTAAAAGTTAGCAGCAACCAGTATAATACACTGATATAAACTGCCCCTGCGTCGCCCTCGCGCATGCGACACGGGGGGTGAAACGCCCAGAGCCGCCGCCCCCTTCTCCTCCCTCCCCTCACCTCGCTGCCACCGGAGCTCACCGCCGGAAAGCCAGCTGGCGAGCGAGGAGGGCGGCGGCGGCGCCTTCTCCGACGACGGCGCATCCTCTTAGGTGCGGGGGAGGCGGTGAACGCTGACGACGGGGAGTGGATCTGGCGTGCCCCAGGTTGGATTCGGTCGAAGCGGGTGGTGGCTCGACGGCGTGGCGCGTGGCCGGCGGCGGGCCGTTGTAGTGCGTGTCGGCAAGAGGCTAGCGCGCATGGGTGGCGGAGGCCGGCGCATGCGAGGCGGCACGCGTCGCCCTCTTCGGCGGTCCGGTGGGGCGGTCGTCGTCGGGGCGCGTGGCCGGCGGTGGGGCGCTGTAGCGCATGTCGGCGGGAGACTGGCGCGCGCGGGTGGCGGAGGCCGGCGCATGCGAGGCGACACACGTCGTCCTCTTCGGTAGTCCGGTGGGGCGGTCATCGTCGGGGCACATCGGCGACTCCGGCGCCTCTCCGGGCATCCACCCCCTCCCCCACCCCCACCTCTGCTACCACCTCCCTTCCTCTCCTCCTCCCACCCCCTCCTTTTCCTCCCTTCCTCTCACCCCCACCTAGTTGTCTAGTTGCTCTGCTGTTCTGCTCACCCCAGCTCTTCTATGTGTTGGTGGTAAAGTTGGAGGTGGTTGTTGCAGTTGCCAGAGGTGGTTTCCCGCAAAGCCCGGTGATTCTTGGTGGAGATGTGGCCTCCGCCGCAAAGCTCTTCTTACATCTCATCAGAAACATAGAAGACTCCGATGTCTCTGTTGCCCTGTCTTCAACTTTCAGCTCCTCTTCCGGCAGGCCAGACCTCCTCGCCTTCCTTGATGCTCCACCCTTCTGTTGGCCGGTCTACTTCTAGACCTTGGTCGTGAAGTCTTTTGGTGGATGAGGAGATATGTTCGTCGACGAAGTTGGTCCAGCTTGTTTGTGGTCAGGGCTCTTTGGCCTCGCCTGTGCTTCAAGTGCCTTGTGTGTTAGTGAACCTGTCGTAGGGCCGAGTTTGGAGCGGTGTGTTTTGCTCTCTGTAGTGCCAGAGTTTTAGTGCTTAGGAGGAGCCAGAGCTGCTGCATTGGGATTAGTTGATGAGCTGGGCAACGATAACTCTCAGCACTTTCGCTCTGGTTTCTTGGAGGTCTTGCACCTTTCGAGGGAGCCTTGGGCAAAAGCCATACCTGGTTTCCTAGCTAGGATTGGCGACATCGACACCTGCGGGTGCCGTATCCTCCTTGGAGGTGTCGCCTTGTTTGACTCTCTTCACCTTCGGGTGAAAACCCAGTCCAGTTTTGGACGGGTGTTGGCAGCGGCATCTGTCGTTGCTTCCCTCCTTGGAGGCTTCGCTTTGAAGGTCTCGCTCTTCCCTTGGTCACTTTTGTGGTTCGTAGTTTTTTCGCTTTGTCTTCTGTGTGGGGTTTTGCCGGTTTCACTGTAGCAAACTGTACAGTTGTATGTTTTTGGACCCGGTTTTCCTTATAAACAGGGTTAATTCTCTTCTGCTTATAAATTCCGGTAGAACTCGTACCGTCGTTTCTTCGAAAAAAAAAGAGGGAGTATAAGTTACATGAATGCTTTGCTATTACCAATCAGCTTAAATATATCTAAGCTCAAGAATTAGTTTTTTCTCTGCTACTATCATACTCCCTCCGTTTTAGGTTATAAGATGTTTTGAGTTTGGTCAAAGTCAAACTGCTTTAAGTCTAACTAAGTTTATAGACAAATATAGTAATATTTACATTACCAAATCAGTTTTATTAAATTAATAATTAAATATATTTTTATTATAAATTTATCTTGGGTCAAAAATATTACTATTTTTTTCTATAAACTAGGTCAAACTTAAAGCTGTTTGACTTTAACTAAAGTTAAAACATCTTATAATCTTTAGTAAAGTACGTACATTTGACTCTAAATGAAAAAAAAATCCAAGGTTTAATAATTGGACTTAAATATTATTGCACAAAACTAAACCTATAATTCGCCAAGATTGAAGTAAAATTCGGTATAGCTCGCTAGCTAGTGGCGGATTCATAATTTTTCTTGAGCCTAATGCAAATCTAATAAAAGATATAATCTATATATATATACATAAAACCATAAAACTAATAACTTCATAGACCATTTACCATTTTATTGAGCCTTGCTTTGCTTGTTTGTTAGCTGATCATCGAGCTAAACTCCATTAGAACAAATAAGCAAGGTAATTAGGTAAATATTTGTGAGTAATTATGCCGTTGAATCAATGCGTTGTTGTGCATGTGGAGGAATGGGCCCTGCTCCGCCACTGTCGCTAGCTATTACGATTATCCTGCATATTTGCATATATATTGTCTCAATTTGGTCAAAAAAGAGGAAATACACAACGCCGGTTTCGTGCTCGAATGCTTAGCAAAAGCTAACCCTAAGCCTTATTCCTTAGTAAGCAAGTGAAGAATTTTCTTGGCCTTTATTATTTGGATTCCTTTTCTTTTCCTGCATGGCATTGGCTGCCTTGTATTCTCTATTAGCTTTGTCTAAAGCTGGTCATCGATCAGCTCGGAGCTCAGGACTCAAGACGTAGTACCTACTACTACTAGTACCTTGCAGCAGATGGCTTTTCACAGAGAATAATGCTTGATGCTTTTGTTGTTAAGATTGATTAATATACTGTCAAATATCTGCTTTTGTTGTTAAATTAATTAGTGTACTACTGTACGTATGCATAGGGAATTATAGTTGTGTACTGCTGGTTTCCTTGCCAAGAACATATAAAAGTTGAATTAAGGTGCCCTTTTCTTTTGGACACACATATAGAAGCAGAACATCATGAATGGTTATTGAGAAAAAAAAAGGTTTTCTAGAATTATTTACTGGTATGTTGGTTATGGGGTTGATGATAAGACATATATAAGATATGAGAGTAGTATTTTTCAAGTTATTTCTAGACGTCCTAGATGTTTTGTATATATATTTGACAAAGATGAATGCAATTAAAATCCAACTAACATGAACGTTTGCCCTCCAAATAAGCTATGATCATGATCTACTGAAAATAGACAAAAAAAATATATATCTAGACCTATTATTTTTGGAAATATATATATGCAGGAACATCCTCTAATTGTATATGATTTTTCTTTATAATGGGCCTAATATGCATAAGAACATGCATTCTAATATATAATTAAGCATTGTTTAGTTAGTATCACACTATTAACAATAAAAGAAAACTATTTGAGCTACATTTACGCACGTGGGTCCTTGCAAAGTTTATCTCCATGAACGACTGTACTTGAAAGCTAACTCAACTTTAATCGGTGGTAACAGTAACAAGTAGCTTTAGAGGTAGCTTGTATGTCACGTCCATGTACATTTGGATTCTTTGCAGGACAATTGGAAAAGATCAAATGTGCTCTAGGAAGGCTCTTGCTTTGTTTCAGCTTTGACTTACAGCAACTGTAATGTTTATATTTACTAAGTTAATAGTAACATGGGTCCCATTAATGCTAGTCATTAGTTGTTACTGTGGAAAATCTAATTTGTTGTATTACGATGTTTTCTGATCTATTAGATCGAGTCTCTCATGGGGTATATATAGGAGTACATAGAAGATAGAGACTTGGAGTACAATACAAGTAAGAGTAGATTTATCTCTTGGATTCTATCTTTAGGATATATCTTATCTATATATTTGTATTTGACTCTTATCTCTAACTAGCATGTCTATACTTCTAACATTCCCCCTCAGTCGTAGCAGGAGCCAAGCGAACGATTGCGATTGGATTTGAAATCTTCTATCCTTCATCTTGTTCGACTCACCATTATCGATTGCATCTCTGATGGATAGTTCTCCACCTGGTGCCTGCATCCCCTTCTGTGTCGTCCCTTGACTCTTCTCTATTCCCTCTTGCAGTCATAGGGGAGTGTCATGGACGATAGCGATGACATGAACGCTTTGACTAGAGTTTCCATCAATGATTTTTGTTGTAGATGTTCATTGATTTAGCCGATCATATAGTAGCCGTGGTTGTAGGTGTAGCCGCATACAGCCGAAGGCGAAATTTTTTTTTACGCCATTACGTTGTGAAGATGGAACTGCAATTGTTAGCATCTTGCACCTTGTAGATATCAGAGGATGCCATTGGGGACGTCTTGCATAAGATGACGTCGTTGGAGATGAAGCCACCACTTTGGTTGGTCCGTCTGCACCGTGAAGCAGTCATCACAATAGTGATGCTGAGTTGATACAATCGTTGTCGTCGTACATGACATGATCAATGCTGTTGCCGCTGACGCGGTCGTTGTCGTCGTAGAGGACACGATCGATGTCATCGATGAAGCGTCTTGCAGATTAATCTGTCAGAGGACACGACGTGTGCATCTATGTGGACGAGTCGGCGGCGACAAATTGATGAAGACCACTGGTGATGTAGGATCGGCGAAGACTGTTGTGTTGCTGATGAGTTTGCTGATCTGATCGGGAGGATTGGTTGGTTCTATGTGGCTAATGAAGGAATTGATCTAATCTAATACCAGTAAAATTTAATCTATGGATTATTTGTGGCAGCTAATGATGTGGCGCCCCAGGGAGATTATAGC